AAATCAGCATCTTTATATAATAGGATATCCATTACTGTATCATATGCTTCAATTAAATATGTTTACATTTAAGAAAGTTGAAATATTCTAGAAGATTAATTCTTAATTGGTATGAAATCCTAATAAATAATAATAAAATTATTACAGTGTAAGGTTTAAGAAAATAAGTAATTAGATTTAAAGTCAAAATAGTAATGTACATGAATCTGAGAAACCAACTTAAATATGATATTTTTACTAAGAATTTTCTTGGTTTATTATTGTCTTCTTTTCTAAAAATATTATCAAGAACATTAAGAGAAAAACTTTATGTGCCTTATTACATTTTAAATTAATTTTAAAAAGTTTCCCAATTTATCATTTTAGGTTAACCTTTGTAATTTACTAAAGCATCCTTATCATCTGGATCTTCTAAATTATCTTCTTTTTATAATTGATATCCTAAACCATTTTATTTATTATTAACTTTGATATTACTTTTTGAATTTGGTTATGTAGAATATGGTAAAGGTGGAGATATTATTTTACTTTCACCATCACTAGTCATAGTCATATATTTAGGTCCATCAATATTTTAGATACTTCTTAAATGAGACAAATCTATAATATAATAATTATATTATACCTCTTGAATAACCTTTTTACAACATTTATGATTGTTTTTTAACATTAGGTCTTATTTTATTTTTTAAGATTTCTTAAATATTTGTAACTTTCATAATACCAATTCTCTCATCTCTAATTTTATAAAATGCCATAGTGCATATTATTTTATATGATTTAACTTTAGTTTATTTTTTCAATATATCCCTATATATTTCTTTAATTAATTCATAATAATTTCTGTCTTCATCATTTTTTCTTCTTTCTGCTGCTTTTTAAAACATTAAACGAGCTTTCTTTTTGAATTCTCTTTATTAAGTTCCTTATTTGACTAATTATTTTGATTCATTAACTTTAGATTTTTTATTTTCTTTTTCTTAATCTTATTTTTCTTCTAATTTAACATGCTTAAATAATGATATATAATATATTTTACATCATCTTATTATTTTTTAATTTAATATAATTTATATTTGGAATCTGTATAATGTTTACAAGCTGTAATAAATTAATCAGATAATTTCATATGAAAAGTTATAGGTTCACCATTATTAACTTTTCCTTCTAATATAAATTATCCTTTCATTTTAATAATTTCATCTCTACTAAGATTATCATCACTAAGTTCTGCTTAATTATTATCATATTTAGTTTATATTCTTTTATAATTATTTTAATATTAGGTTTCATACATTTATTTAATTTATTCATCTACTTTTTTATTCAATTATTCATTTATATCTTTTTACATTTCTGAATATTAATCTATTTAATGTTTAAAATCTTATGCTTCATTTTTATCACTAACACTACTAGCATATTAAAAGAATTATTTATCTTCAGGAACTTCTAATGATTACATTTAATGATAATTTGATAATTAATCATCTGAAGATATTGCATTATTACTTTTTGGTATACCTTAATTACTTGATCCTGAAAGTGCCATATTTACTTAAATTTTAATTTTATCTTAATTTATATTTGATTTATTTGTTTTTATTGTTTATTCACGTTTTTTCTTATTTTTTTACATACCAAATAATTCTAAATCAGTTTCTTCATTTATTAATGAACATGCTCTACTAAATTATATCAATTTAGGAGCAAATAAAAGCATATTAACAAGTGTTTATACTTTTTATTTTTAAAATAAATCTTAATCAATTTATAATGATTATATAACATTTGGAGTCATTCCATTAATTTCCCAATCTGAATTTAAAATTATTACATCATGTTTTTTTTCATTATTTATATCCGTAGGTCTTAACATAACAACAAATTAAGAATACCCATTCAAATCAACATATAATTTTAAAAACTTTTATGCTGTAAACATATATCCACTTTTATGAATACAATATACTTTTCTTTAAGAATAGAGAGAATGTCCTTTTCCTGTTAATCTATAATCATTTAATAATGATGGATGCACTTTTGAATATATATCTGGCATTAATTATGCAATAGGGAATTTCATAGACACTTCTTCTCTTGTATATCCAAAAATTTTAGTAAATTATTTATTTACTTTTATAATTATAGCATCTGGATCATCACTAGTTTATATAATACATGCTTTTTTATCAAATACTATTCGTTTACTCTTTATATCTATTTTATCCATATCTACTTTTTATTCTTAATCAGATTTAATACTAGCTATATCTTCTTCCAAATTATTTTCTTAAAGTTCTTCAGAGAATATATCATTTTCATTAACAGATAAACCTTAAAAATTATCTAATATTTTATTTTTTAATTTCTTATTTTCAATATATAATGTAAACCAAGCATAATAAAATTTCCATTTCTTTTTAAAATCAAGATAATTTTATATTTAAACCCATAATTAATTAGTTTATTCTATCTTATCAAATTAACTTTTAAGTAATTCATTCAATTCTTCTAAATCAATAACTTCTTTTTATAAACATTTCCAAAATACACAATTTTATATCATTATATTATTAATATTCTTTTTTATTGTTTCAATCATATCTTCAATATATAATGCATTTTAAGTTTCTAATTTCTCTCTATAACTCTATTAATTTCTATGTTTAACATATTTCATAATTTAAGTTTTAAGTTAATATGCTTTATATCTATTAATAATGAATAAAAAACGTTTTTCTAATTCTGTTAATATATGTAATGATACTTAATGATTTTAAAACTTATAAAACATAAATCTAGCATAAAGTATTAATAATTCAACTGAATTAGGATTTTAATTTAATTTTATTTCAATCCATGATTTCATTAAGAATTTAACAAATATATTTTTATGTATTAACCAATCATCTAAACTTACTTCTTTCTTTTTTTTAGAATCAAAAATCTTTTTCTTTTTACAAAAACATCTACCCTCACCTTATATAATTGTGTGTCTACAATCTACTTCCATATGTCTTTATAGAATTCCTTTAAAAAATAAATCAACATTTATATCTTAATTTGATACTTCTAAAAGAGTATTCATTATAAACATTTATTTATTTATTTATTGATCTCCTGCATTTTCAAAGTTAATATCCTTATAATTTGAATTCTTTAAATTATAAGTAAAACAACAACAAAGAAAAATAAAAGAAACAGTAAAAAATATACTAAAATTCTCAAATTAGTGTTACACAGTATTATATCTATACAATTCATCTACTATCATAGAAAAACTAGCTGAAACCATTATTATTAATAAAATTTAAAATGTATTTCTAACTGATGTTGTAGCAAATGCCATATATCCACTAAAGAATAAACAATTCATCAAAAAATAACTAAAAGTAAAAAAAATTACTATAAGCATCACCCATACAAATGCATATTCTGTTGAACTATGAATATATTATATATATGAAACTTGAAAGTTAATAGAAATGCATGAATCGTTCGAAATATTTAAAAGGCTACAAGATAAAGTGAATTTTCAGTATTTAAACAATCTTTCTTCTAATTACTGTTATTATGAAAAAAAACACTTAAAAAACAATTATTTATTGTTCCAAAAAATACTCTAAAACATAATTCATATAAACTACCCTATCACAGATAAAGATATTATAATATCTCTTACTGATGTTTTTGTACAATCTATTGTAGGTCCACAAACTATATTTTCAAAAAACACAATCATTGCTGGATAATGTAATAACCACACATACCATTCACATAATTACACAAATTTCTACATACAAACTCATCAATTTACCTTCCCTAAAAATCTCTTACGAACTCTAAAATCATCTCCTTATAATATATAAAGAATGAAATAGAGAATTGTATTTCCTATTGTCGCTAATAAAAAAACTGAGAGCATTATGTAATTAATTGTAATATCTTATCTTAACAAGCCTTGGATGTCAAAATAAGTACAAAAGTCAATTATTTAATCAAGGATAGTTGATTCAGTTTAATAATGAATATTTATTAAGCTCTTATATCTGAATATAGTTATTTAAGTACTATCTTATTTAACTGAGAAAGTGATGGATAAATGCTATAATTAGCATTAATGCTGTCTTTGTGTATGAGGCATATTTTAATTTCAAGAGATCATTAAATAATTTGAAATGTTAATCCAAGCCTTGTTTTGTACGCTTCTTCTCAAGTTCTTTCTCCTATTATTACAGAGTTGGCAATGCTTGTTCTTTATCCATCAAAATTAATAAAATATAAAAATTATGTTAGAAACAAAATATTCAAATTGGATTAACTAATTAAATAAGAAAAGACTACACAATTCATATTAAAAAATTTAATATTATTACATATTATTGGTATAACCTAGTAAATAGTTTTTATAATCACACAAAATCTTTAATGAAATCTAATTGGTTGCAAGTAATTATAAAATAATATTTATTTTATTTGAAGTTTTATTCAAATCTATTTTTGATAATCATAATTGCTCTCTTAAAGAAGGTTTAATTGAATACTTAATCATAATTTTATTATTTATCTTGAAAATTACAGTATATCATATCATAATAGAAGAGTTCAATTTTTAAGAATTTAAAGCTTTAAAAATAGTTCAATTATTTAAAAAAATCATTATTAACCATCATTAATCAATCTTTCTATTTTAAATTATCATTTCTAATTTCAGAATTTATATATTCTAAATCAAATACTTTTCATTTAATAAATCAATCTATGTTATAATTAAATTTTGAGAGATTCCTTTATGAAATTAAGTTGAGTTTATATATTTATCTTATAATATGATGATAAAATATATAAATAATATATAAAATAATGACAGAGATTTATATATATATAAATATGAGTAATTCAATAAAAAATGAGTTGTTAAATTTAAATGAATCTATTTAAATATATAATCTCTATAATAAACAGAAATCTAAAATATAAATTATTATTCTATGTGATCAAATTAAAATATATATTATTATTGGCACTAACAGTTTCAATATGTAAAGTTCAAATAAAGTTCTTGTAGTACCTTTTATCATAAGTGGTTTAGATGAAAATAATGAATTCGATTCTTGTACTATGAAGATAAAATAATCACTGTCTGGAACAAGATTAGTAAATTTAATAGTGCCATCCTAAATCAATTAAAAATATTATGTACTGATGAAGTCATATAATGTTCTACAAGTATTCCTTCATGATTTTCTCCTCTTGAAATTTATTTCCCAGTTGGACTTATTATAATTTCTAAAATTAATAAAATATTAAACATTATGCATAGTAATCTATTCTAGTGAAATTGGCTTTTCGATCAGCTACAGGTTCACAAATTTAAGAGAGATAATTAATACTCAAAACTTTACAAGTATAATCACTAGTTTCAGGAACATAAGGATCTGATTTTATAACATCTATAGTATCAGTAGAATTAGTATTAGTATTATCATTATCATCAGTATTTGTATTATCATCAGTATTAGTAGGATCAGTTGTAGTAGGATCAGTTGTAGTAGGATCTGTGGTAGTAGGATCAGTTGTAGTAGGATCAGTTGTAGTAGGATCTGTGGTAGTAGGATCTGTGGTAGTTGGATCAGTTGTAGTAGGATCTGTAGCATCTTGTAATATTCTTCTACTTCTTAAAACTGAAGAGTCTGCTTTAAAATGATTTTCATAAATATAGGATGGATTTCTAAGTGCTATTGCATGAATTTTTCCTTAAAGACCTGATATTGTTAAAGAAGTGTTAGTATCTGCAAAAATTGATGGATTTGATGTCAATGAAAGTGTATCAGAATGAGGATCTGTATAGTTTGTTGTATTAAATTATAATATTGCAGGAGCCTCTGCTAGATTTCCAGAATAATCTTCAACAAAACCAATAAATTAATAAGATGTTGATATTTGTAATTAATCAACAAGAATTTAATATTCATAGGTTGGAGAATCATAAATATATTCACCAAAAATAAAAGGATAATTAAAGTAATCATAAGGTAACATTTTATTTTTAATTTATTGTAAGGTTACTTCTCTAATAAAAGTAGGTACTACTGCAAAATAGATTGTGCATGGTTCATTTGTAACAATACGAACTTAGACTAAGGAATCTGCAGCAAGCATAATCTATTTAATAACAATAAAAGGAATATTTAAGTCAGGATTAATCACACTAAAATTTCTAACTCTATTAGTAACCTAAAATGTTGGTTTGTCATCTCCAGATATTATTGTTAATAATTATCCAACTGCACCTTCTGTATGTATTCCACATGATACCCAAAATTAACCAGTTCTTTGTCCATCAGTAAGAGTAATTGTTTTTGGATAAACAGCTGAATATTTTGGTTGATTATTTAGAAGATAAAATGAAAATATAATAGGTTTATATGATCCATAAGACATTTCCACTGTTTATACATCACTTCTACCTCCAGCTGGTACTTCAAATATATCACTTACACTTATTGAAATATCTAAATTTTATAATTAATTATACTTTTGTATCTTTAAATCCATAAATAAATTGGTCTAACTGGAATATAATCACTAATTTCATGTGTAAATTTTATGACTACTCTTAAAACAGCAATTGATGTATCAATACCAATTCTAAATTAACCAGTCTTTTAACCAGCATCTATTAACATTGGAGTAATAGTTAAAATATCTTTGAAAGCTTCATCAAATAATGGAGATATTTCCATTGTTTAAGATGCAGATTCTACTGGATACAAAGATAATGTAATATTATTGGTATATGTTCCAGCTTCAATATAATGATTTGGATCATCATCATCTATAATAATTAATTTACCTGCATGTTTAAAGTCAGGTGTAGAAGGTTGCATTAAATTAGAATAAGTTTACATAATAATTTATTTAGTAGTACCATCATAAAGTGATAGATCAGGATATCCTGGACATATACCTTCATCTAATGGATTTGGTAATTATTGAACAACAATTTAGAATGTTTTGGTAGTATCTGCTGTAAATGTAGTATCAAAACTAAAACTATTTCCAGAAGGTTCAACATCAAATTGATTTCCATCTAATGTTAATTTCTTTTCACTCCAAAGTGAAGCAATTTAATATCCCTTTTAGAAATCTAATTTAAATTTAGTTGGAGATCCATTAATTTCTGGTTATAATTAAAGAGTGTAATCAGCATAATCTCTAGTATTAGATGATGTAATGTATAATTATTGTAATTGTAAAATAGAAGCAGCAGGAGTAAATAAAAGTGCACCCATATTTGGAACAAATTCTTAGGCATGTGTTTCATTAGACATAATATATACTCTAATCCCTTACCTGAGTTATTTTGTTGAAGATGTAATTATTTAATTAGGGTTTCGAACACCTGTAATAATTACTACAAAACCATCAGTGTTTGGAACATAGGCCTTTAAATTAGATAATGTAATTTACCATGCAGAAACACTGCATTAAATAGGATCATTAGTTGCTTTACTTAATAATGGAATATCACATCCTATACTACCACCCAAACCATAAGGGAACATAGCTGGGAATTCTACTACAATAGTTGCTGTTTCTTTTATTTCCAATGATGGTTTTAGAGTTAATTCATAGGTTGCTTATACACCTTCAGTAGTAGGATAATATAGAAGAGAATATTGAGTATTGTTCATAAAGGTTGCTTTCAAACCACTTGTTGCTTTTCTATTTGTCTCAGTTGTACCACTATCATCTAATACAACAGCATCATAAATAGTTTTGATAACTACAACTCCAGAGTTTTTGTCTTCATTGAAATTTCGAACATTTAATATTTTAACTATTACTGGTTCCATACCAGCTTCAATTCTTAATTCACTATCTAGTGTGATTATCACATTCAAAGAATCAATTATACAATCATTCATTGTTTTTAATGATCCACTAACATAACATCTTATTTAGGAGTCATCAGTTATAGTATCCAAAAATGAAGCAGAACTTATCACTTTTGGATCAGTAGGTAAAGTGGTCCATAATGAAGAAGCTTCAAAATCTTGAGGAAAAGTAATTGTAATATTACCATATTTTGGAATATTACGAGTAGGATAGAAACTGATTTCATAAGTTGCTGGAAATATAGAATCTGGAGGTGATCCATTATCTGGATACATTTTAAAATGATTGAATATAATTTCTCCAATAGGTACTTATTGAATAATTGTCATACCTGTAACATCAGTTGTTGAATCAATATAATAATTATCTGCAGTTAATGAAGATACACCAAATAAATTTGTTAATCCAGCTTTTGGTGGATTTTTCACTCCTGTCATTTTTATACTAATAACTGTTCCTTTAGTGTATGGTTTGAAATCCTAAATAATATAAATGTTTGTATTATTGGCTTTACCAAATTTATCATTAACTGGTTCTAATCCTTATTTAATTTCAAAATTTATATCTCTATTTACACCTCCATGATCATAAAAGTTTACTGCATAAATCAAATAGATTTTTCCACCAGCAGGTATATCATTATTAAATGAAAACAACCAATTATATTCTACATCAATCATATTAGCTTCATATCTTCTAGATGTTACTTAAACAGATTTTGCAGATCCAGGACTAAAATTTGGTAAATCTTAGAATATCATATGTTCCCATTATTAATTATTTTTAATTGTCATAATCTGAATACATCCAATTGGATCAGCTGCATAATATGGATTTATGAAATTTTTTAAATAAAAAGTAACATCTAAAGCACTTGCTCCAGGAATATCCATTAATGTAGTTGGAATAACAACTACCCATCCAACTTCTCTATATGCATAACAATTCAATTATGTAAGTAATCCTAAACTACATTAAACATTCTTGTTTACTATATAAGCTTATGGATTTGTAGTTGGTAATTATGGAAATATAAATATTATACCTTATGAAGTATCCACTGATGATTTTAAGGGCTTAGTAGATCCAGGTTCATATCTGATCTAAATACTAGATTCTTGATTGATTATTGTTGGTACAAACTTTGGTGAAGCTTATGAAGGTAATCCACCAACTAAATTATCATTATATTTGTTCTTAACTACTATCTTAGGTAGAACAGCAGGAAATATTAAATTAACATCATTTGGATCATTTTAATACATTATATATTATCTTCTATTCTTTTTTAAAAGAATCTTAATTGTTACTGATGCAGTTGATCTACATAAATCATCAACAGTAACTAAATATGATTCACATTAAGGATTCTAAATATTTGGTAAATGTAACTCAAATTATTCATTTTTTAAAACTGCTCTATAATGATGAACTTTAACTCTTGCAGGATCAGGTGTACTGCTTGGTTTATTTAAATTACATTTTATTTCAGTATTTCCACTTAAAGGTTATAATTTGGAATAACCATAACATGGGAATGCTGCTTAATCTGTTAAACCTGTGCCTAAATCAGTTAAAAATTAAAAATTTGCAGGAGCTGGATGAAATGAATCTACAGTTTAGAATTCAACCCAAATTTCAGATGTCATTATATTAAAATCCTATTACCATTCAGAACTTGGAATATCATTTAAAGCTGGAAACTTAAAATAAATTAAGGTTTTTGTAGATTAATCTTATGATAATCTAAAGGATTGAATTGATGTTAATTTGTATGGAAGAACTTAGAAATAAATAGTTTATCTTGAAACAACAACATTAAGGTTTGTTAATAAATTAACACCAACTACATATTCACCTGGTGTTGTAGGATGCTTCACACCTACAATAGTAAGTTAGTTATTATTTGTTGATGAAAATGCAGTATTTCCAAATGTGAATGTCAAAATGGATCCACTATTAGAACATGTACCAGTATCAGTTACAGCTACATCATTTACAGCTGTACAAGATAAACCAACAAAAGAAAAATCAGTACTAAATATTAGTTTTAATTTATATGATGTAGCTGGAACTATTGAATTTTTCCAATTTACAACCCAAGTAGCTGTTTAAGCTGCTCTTTAATGATCAGCTGTAGGAAAAGTAATATCAAATGTACTAAATAATGTATATGATTATAAAGACAAACTTGTAATAACACTTGAATATGTATCTACTAATTATAATTATGCTAAATCTTAATATGTTTTTATTTCTAAATTTGACAAAGGAGTGCTCCCTGGATTTGTTGCTTTAAATTAAACTACAATTGAAGTTTTTGGCTAAACTCTTTTAAAGTTCTAAATAATAAATTGATTAACATTTTGTATACAACTCACTTATACATTCTCACTTTAATCATATAATCCATCTGTTACATAACATGATTCAAATAAACCTCCACTTAACCAATTTATTATTATTTAACCTGTTGATTCTACAGCATTAATTAAAGAAAATGTAATTTAATATATTGTAACATCGTTTATTGAAATAACTTCAGTTTATCCAGTTAATGTAGGATGAGAGGATACTTTAACATCTGTTAATGTTCCTGGAGTAATTGATGGAAAATTAACTGCCTTCTTTTGATTCAATATTGTATTTGTATTGTTTGTCCATGTTCTTAATGTGTATTATCCTGGAATACCAGAATATTTTGGATTTATTATTCCTGAAATTGAAATCTCATATGATGCAGCTGCTTAATCATCTTCAAATCCATTTATTGAAAACATCATTCCCTATCTTGTAATATTACCTTTTAGAGTAGTTGTACTTGAATATTTATCATCTTATATTGAAAAAATAGATTGAGATAAATCTAAAGTTAATTTTCCTTCTTTTGGTATTAATATATTAGTTTAAAATGAGAATGTGACTTAATTTATTAAATTTACACCTGAAGCTGAATATGTAGTACTAACTCCACTTAAATCTATTGCTGCTTTTGCAATTCCAACTTTTCCAAATGCATAATTAAAATCAATTAAATTAATATCTTTTTTATAGACATCATTTCTTCGGGTTTCCATCTTAAAGTTCCCTGTTCCTCCATATAAAGGATTTGGTATTGATGGTATAGTTAGTTTATAATTACCTGCTTTAACATCAGGTAAGGTTATTTTAAAAAGGGAAGGTGTTTAAGAATCAGTAGGTAGATATTTGCAACTAACACCAGTCATTGTTTACCATATTAATAGATCTGGGTTCCATTTCTAAAGAGTAATTTTATAATCTGTTTCGACTAATGGCAAATTAGTGTATTAAGTAGGAAATTTGATTAGTAATTAATCACCTTTAAACATATCAGTAGCTGTTGTATATGTGAAGACATAGTCTGATATTTCCAGTTGATTATTAACTGAAGGTTCAATTGGTTTTCTAAGATAAGGTGAGATTTCTCCACATCTAACTAGTGAAAGTAAATAAAATAAAATCATATTATTATAAACAATAATTTTTATAGGTTTAGAATTTTAATATGGGAAATTCTCATTTCAACAAATACTCTAATAATTATTAATTAGAAGAATTAGTGATATCATCTTCATATTTGAAGAAATCTACCACTTAGAATTTAAAAATTTCATGTATTCTACAACAATCCTTTAAGCGAACAGCAAATTCTAAATAACTTCTATCATTCTATTCTTTATGTAATTATTCCAAGACAATTTTACGATAATACTATAAGCAAGTTTAGAAAATGTAATCAAATTTATTTTTTTCTACCTACTCCATATTTGCAATAGTTTTAATTAATTTAATTTCTTCTATCTCTGTATCACAAAGAGATTATTATGTTCTTTTAACTAATTCTATTAAAAATTCTTTTATTAAATCATAATCTGTTTTTATCAATTTTAATGATTCAAAATATTCTTTGCTTTAACAAAAAATTGCCCATTCCTTTTCTGTAAATCTTTTAGTTGTACTAAAAATTATAAACATATCAAATACTTAGATAAAGTCTTTTTTTATAATCTTGTTAGAGTCTTATATAAAATTAGTACCTAGTATTTTGTCAACAAAAAACAAATTCCTAAATAAACACTTTAATGCTATTAAAATTTTTCTATGAATATATAGGAATTTATATACATGCAGACCATTACTCAAATAATTATTGAGACAATGTATTTAGAAATTCTGATTTATTTTTTTTATGTGTAATCCAATCTGAAATCTTCTTTATTATAGAATTATTTATTATCTATTATTATTATTCTCTTCCTAAAACATTCTAATTCTAATTTTAATTAAAATTTGTTAAAGTTCTAATTGGAGAAGTAGAACTTTCTTTTTATGAAAATATTTTCTCTTTTCTTTTTGGACTAACTGAAGATTAATTTTAAGATTCTGATTATTCTGTTGATTTACTTTTATTTGAGTTATTATCTAATTTTGGATAAGCTTTTTCTATCTATTCTTATTGTTATCTACCATGTTGTATATTCTAAACAACACCTCTGTTTAAATTTTTTTCTAGATTCTTTTTTTTAAATATATCTTTTTCCTAATTAATCATTATAACACTTTTGTCTAAGTTTAATAATGATTCTTGATCATGCTAGATTTATAATTAAAATAATTCTTCCCAACTCATTCTATCCTTTTCATCTACTTTTAACATTTTTGATATTATTTATTTCATTTAATCTGAAACACGAGGAATTGCTGGAAATTTTATAGGAACTGTTTGTATTTTAATCATGAGTTCTTATATTGAACTTGCTTTCCAAGGAGTCTATCCATAAAGTACTTCATAAAATATAATTCCTAAGGACCATATATCTGTTTTTGTAGAATATTGTCTTGATTTTTGAGAAGTCAAAATTTAAGGAGACATATATAATGGTGTCCCAGCAAAGGTCATAAGTACTTAATTATCAAAATCACTTAAGATTTTACTAAATCCAAAATCTGAAATCTTAGCCACTCCTTTATTCATGAGAATATTGCTTGGTTTTAAATCACGATGAACTATATTTTAATTATACATTTCTTAATATCCATTAACTATTTAACTTAAAATAATTCTAGCCTCTGATTCTGCCAAATATTTCAATTAATTTTTTTGACATTTCTTATCAATATAGGAATTCAAGGTACCTCCCTCACAATATTCCATCATGAAATATATATTATTTTAAGTTCTTTATAGTTAATAAAACCTGACTAAATTTGGATGTTTTAAACGCTACATGATTTAACATTCATTCTGACACAATTTTGTGATTTAATCTACTTGTTTCTCATTCCCTTTTAAATTGATAACTTTAACTGCAAGTATCTCAAATGTTTTAGTATCTCTTCCTAAGTACACTTCTCCAAATGTACCTTTCCCTAAAGATGAAGTCAGATCTATTTGAAATTGGCCAACACTTTTACAAAATTAACCATTACTCATCTAAAATATTAATATAATTATAATCTAAATATTATAATAAATTAAGATCAATCATTAAATTAAAAATGAGGGATCTTAATCATTAAATAGAATATATCTAAGTATTTAACAAATAATATAGTCAAAATTATCAAGAATCTTAAAAATATTAGTTTAGCTTATGTATTTAGTTAAAATTAAATTATCTTATCATAAAAATCATATTTAAACATTTAATAGAGTATTTCAATCATGTTTTAATCTGTAATCTTTCATAATAATCCAATTATTGATATTATGTTGAAAATTTTAATATATATTTCCTTTTAAATAATTCCAAAGGGTATCTATATAGAAATATATAACAATCTAAAGTAGTTAGACATTTTGATATGGAGAAATAATTTATCTAGAAAAAAACGGATTTATATTAGTTATTAATTAAATTACCATGAAGATGGTCATCTTGATTCTAATTTTAACAATACTCAACACATAAGCTTAAACATCATTAAGAGGCAAGAGTAAAATTGGTATGAGTGGCCTTTATTAAGACTAGAGTAGAACGAGGAATTATCATTTTTGTCTAATGATTATACATCGGAACTACAAGAATACTCATTATTTGTTCAATTAACAAAGCCATTTATTGAAACCGCACCTATGGATGTTATGATGCTTAATCATGAAATGGAAATAGCTAGAATGATGGGTAATCCAGGAATAACAATGATGAATTATGTGCTTGAAGAGTCACCTATCCGTCCTGCTTGGTGAGAAAATTAAATGGTATTAAGTGATGATTCCTATTTGATTATGGAATTAACAACTTAAAATTTCCCAAATAAATATTTGCATGAATAAAATTTAGTCTAGTAATATTTCTGAGATAAAAGTAGGATGGATTTAAGAGAAATAAATTATAAATCATCTTCAATCAGAAATAAGTAAAACTCTGTTTTCAATTTTTATTATTATCTTATTTTCAAAAACAATAATCTTAACTCATATGAATAATTGACATATAAAAATATGATAATAATTATTATTTAAATTGAGAAATACACAGTAACAATATTTAAAAATAAATTTATGTGTATTTATCATTAATAAATGATATTGAATACTTAAATTGAAAATAAAAATAATATAAATATTTACTTATTCAATCTTATTGCTAGTAATAATTTATTGATTACTCTGATAACTACTTAAATTGTAATCAACAATATTAATTAATTGCAAATTTCTCTTTGAATATTTCTATTTCTAGTTAATTATAAAAAATGAATTAAAATTATATTGACCAAGCCTATATGACTAAGGTTTAATATTCATTTGATTTACATAGAAATTCTATAGAGCATTTGGGAATTATTTTGGACCTCATACTTCAACACCCAGTATGGCATCAGAATATTTATCATCAACAAGGACCCAGACATCCAATTTATACAAATAAAACAGTTTAGCAAAACCAATTACAACCCCTTAAAATGTAAGTAAACCAATAAATTTAAATTCTGTTCGAGTAAAAACATAGACTCAACATATTTCTAAATAACAGCCATAAGTCCATCATATAAAAAGTTTATCATCAGACTTAAAGAATTAACATCAATAAAAAAGATTCAAATAAGAGAAAATGATATTATATACAGAATCAGATTAGCATCCTTTTTTGATCATTTAAAAAAAGGCAAAGGAATTAAGAAAAATTGAATCTCGAAAAAGTACTTTGCCTTCAATTTAAACTGAATCTTAACATAGTGCCAGATTGCCAGATATTCCTCCATTACTTCAAATTCCAATAATATAAATTACAGAACCATTAGAGTAGCATTCATAAAAAGGATAAGAATATGATTCAGATAAAGATGATGATTCTTAAGAAGAAGATGATATTCCTCAAGGTTAAAAAAAGATGAAGAAACTTTCTGTTAGACTCAAATTTAAGAATGCTGTTTAATCATAAGTTTCTACACTTTTTATCAATAAACAAGTAAAATTATTACAATTATTTAAGCCAAAATCACTCTTTAATGTAATAATATCCCCTGAATTTACACTCAAGCATGAAGAAGAACGTTAAAAAATAAGTGATGCTTTTGAAGCTGGAAATTTTATATTATATAAAGCAAAGTAATTTCAATAGAAATAAGTAACTCATAAAAGAAAACTATTTGTTACATAATTAAATATCAAGCATCCTCATAAAATGAATAATATTATCAGTTCATAAATAGCTAAATTAAATACTACAAATAAAGCATTTCAAAGAAAAATTAAAATGATTTTAACTACAACTGAAAATAGCAAAGAAATTGAGCAACCCTAAAAATTTTCATTATTATCTAAATATAAAAAAAGCTAATTTAGTTAATAAGGTAGTAATGAACATATTGCTTAAGTTATCAATCTAAATAAAGATTAATTTACAATTACAATAACTAACGATAAATTAGAAAATGAAATTCAAATTTTTAACAGACCAAAATTTGTTATTTCAATAGATTAAATTATTGAAGAAGTTTAATTAGCATAATCTCCCCCTAAATAAGCTAATTCTCCTGGAAGAAGAATCTTATAACATTCTGGATCTATGCATTAATCTTAAAAACATATTAATTTAAGACATTCTGTTTCTTAATAAATTATTAAAGAAGAATCTTCAAATGTTTCTATTGTTCCTTATTTAGAAGAAAACAATAATCTAGATTTTAATTAAGAATTCTCAAAAGTAAATTAAATATATTAATTTATTTAAGTCTAATTTATATGTCAGACTTTATTATTAAGGTAGATTACATAAATTGCCAAGAAAAACTACTTTTGTTGGGATGAATCTACAAGAAATTGAAGATTATTTTACATCTTAACATCAATTAATTAAGCTAACAAATATGTATTTTCATAAGATATTTAGAAATTTTTAAGCCACTGAAGTACCAGGATTAGAATAGATTGGTCCAACATTAGAATAAAATTTAGATATACCTAAATTTATACTTTATCAACCAAAATTATGCTTAAACTTTAATTTTGATTAAAGTGTAACATTTTCTTCAAGTGATTCAGAATAAAGTTAGTCTTTGGATTTACTTTTAGAAGAACCTATTTAAAGTTTAATTTTAAATAAATTTAGGCTAGGATTATAAAAAGAAGAGTACGAAAGTAAAATGGTTAATATAATAAAATCACTAAACAATTTGGATTAAGAAAAAGATGAGACAATATTTATTGAGGATGATTTCAAAAATTTCAAAAGTAATCATTTATGTTTTAATTTATATCAGCTCTATCAACTGGTTAATTGACTCTTATTAAGAAAGCTAAAAATCATTTTTTATAACCACTTGATCTTGTTTACATTATAAATACATTAGATTAAAATACAAAAAATGAATTATTAACATTTCCTTAACAAGCCATACCTATAAATTAGATATTAGATTCAATTAATTCTGATAATGATAGTTGGGCTTATAAATAACTAGAAAAATATTATGATAAGTTAATTTTAAAAAAGAGAATAATAGAATAATTAGAAATTAGACATGAAGAAATATTAATTGGAAGATATTAAGATAAGGAAAAAGTTATTGATATAGAACATTAAGATTTAATAGATACTTTATAAAATCTACCTGAAATACCAAAATTAAAAGAAATAGAAAAATAATAAAAAAGTTAAAAGTCATAATAATAATAATAATAATAATAATAATAATAATAATAATAATAATAATAATAATAATAATAATAATAATAAGTTACAAATTAATAAAGCGTAAAAGGAGAATAATAAATTAGATAAATTGCTAGTATTAAAAAAAATTTACTTAATAAAAAATAATTAAAAAAAAACTAAACATAAACTATAAATATTTAACCAAATTTAAGAACAAAATAAACTAGCAACTCACCAGATCAAACCAACTCAAGATTAACAATGTAATATTCTAATTAATTAACTAATTAATAAACTTAAAATAATATTATAACATAATCTACCACATAATTTTTAACAAAACCAACTAACCAATCTTAATAATCAGTAAATATTTCAGGAACAAAAATAATCCAAAAAAGTAAATCAAATGCAGATTTAAGTGAAACATCATCTATAAAATCTTCAAATAGTAAAATAGAGATTAGTTCATAAAAGATATTAGAAGTTGATAATTAAAAGCATTAGACAAAAAATTAATAAACTCATGAAGTAGAGAATGAAAAAAAAGTCAAACATCATTAAACAAAATCAGAAAATTTAATAAATAAGATTTTTGAATAAAAAGTATATATTTATATTTTTATAAATTATCACTTTAGATTTCAAGTATGCAATAACATTCATTGAGAATGAGAAGTCATGCAGAAGAATAAACAAGAAGATAGAAATATGATCAAAAGTATCAAGTAAAATTTGCTATAGAGGATAATAATTTTTAAGAAGTAAATAATATCTTTAAAAAAATAGTTTTTGGAAAACTTTAAATAATTGCCAGAAATGTATATTGATTATAGATTCTAAAAAAATGAAACATTCTTAACTTTAGCTACATAAAGTGGAAATAAGGAGATTGTAAAAGAACTAATAAAGAGAGGAGCAGATATTAACATATAAAATGTATTGTTTTACTAAAAAAGGATGATGGAAATACCCCCTTGCATTTGGCTATAGCATATTCTCATTTTAATATAGCTGACTTACTCATGTTTTCTGGAGCCTCTTCTCACATTTTAAATAAGTAGGGTAGGAATGCTTGGAATGTAATATGATAAATTTATGTATCTACTAATAATTTTGAATCTATAAAAAAGATTACAAATCTTGATCTATTTCTTAAATTAATTGTAATACCTGAATTATATTAAAAATAATATTGTTAACTTAATGAATAAAGGAATTGAAAAGAAGAGAACCTCTTCATTCAATAAATAAACAATAAATTAGATATATGATAGATATGATACTAAGCAAAAACAATTTTATTGTCCAAAATATAAAAAAGATGTCAAAAATTTAATAAACAATCTAAAAATGAAATCATCTTGTGAGAGTTATTTAATAAATATTCCACAAAATTTATCTTGGAAAAATGTCTTAACAGGTCTAACTAATAAATTTCCTAAAAAATAAATAGAATAATATATCAAAAAGACTCCTAGTACATCATTACATACTCCAGCTGATTTTACTATAAGAGTTACAGAATAGTAATCTGAGTTAATAAAGTAATAATAATCTATATTACACTAATAATCTTAATATACTTCATATAGATCTTTATTTTAACATAATAATCATAATTAGTGGATAAATCTAAATAATCATAAGAGTTCTAATTATATTCAATAAGATTAAATAGCAATAACTGAATATAAGTAAAGATATTTGCTAACTTAGAACCTAATTAAATAATTAATTGACTAATAATTGTGATTGGAAATATCCATATACTTGCTATAAGGAAAAAAGAAATCATACTAAAATGTAAATATTAGAGAATCTAGAATTTGAATGTTGGTAAGAATTGATGATGACTAGAATGGTTTTACGTCAAAAATAATGACATTATTTATAGTTAAAATTTTGCAGAAATAACTTTTTATTAATATATTTTAAAGAATTTATTTTCTGATTAGATGTGATTTATAATATTTCACAAATCCCAAAATTTAAAATAAAATTTAAATATAATTAAATGTCTGACGACGAAAATCAATTCGAGTAAGGAAATGCAGGATCATCCCATACATACACTGAAAGTGCTGGTTCATTAAAAAAAGGAGGCTATGTTATGCTTAAGGGACATCCATGCAAGATTACTGATGTTTCAACATCCAAAGCAGGAAAACATGGTCATGCTAAAGTATAATAATTAATTGAATAAATTAGGCTTCTATTGTTGGAAAGGATATTTTCACAGGCAAAACTTATGAAGATTCAGCCCCAACTTCTCACAATATTGATGTCCCTTTTGTTACTAAAAAGGAATATACTTTGATGGATATTCAAGCAGATGGATTTGTCATTCTTATGAATGAAGATGGATCAACAAAAGAAGATCTTAAATTACCAGAAACTGAAGATGATTTCAATTTGGTTAAAGAAATCAGAGAATAATTTGAAGCTGGCAAGTAATTAATTTCCATAAATTTCTTAGGGATTTGTTAATATCAGTTCTTTCTGCAATGGGAGAGGAAAAAATTGTTTCAAGTAGAGAAGCTTAAGATAAGTGATTCATATTAAATATATATATAGTAAATAATTTATTCTTCATATATAATCATTAATCTGCAACATCTTTAAAAAACGGATGCTTCAAAGCATCACTTGCACTAATTCTTTTTTCTGGATTATATTACAACATTTAACTTAATAAATTAAATAATCTTACTTAAGCAAATCTAAAAAGTTGTCCAAATCCTTCACTTAACTAAATTTTTCTTTCAAATTCTATTTTTTATACTTCTATAATTCTTTGAAAAATATTTTATGATCAAAAGGCACTTTATTTGCAAAATAATCCATTTCACTTTAATTAAAACTTCCCATAACTTTGAAAATTGCAAATAATTAATCCCCTTCACTTTTTCCTTTAAAAAGAGCCTCCTTTACTACTAATTCCCCCATTATGCAACCCAAAGCCCAAATATCAATTGACACATCATATTTTGTTACGCATAATATTAATTCAGGAGCACGATAATATCTAGATACTATGTATGGAGTATTTTAACCATGTGAATTTATCATTTTAGAACTTCCAAAATCACACAATTTAACTACTTCTTTGTCATTTATAAGAATGTTTTCTCTAATAAAAATTATCAATCATTTTTACGGTTTTAAATCTCTATGAGCTATTCCTTTTTTATGAATAAACTATAATCCTTTTAAAATTTGATAAATGTATGACTTTATAGTCAATTCAGAGAAGAATTTACCTTATTTAATATATGTTTATATCCTGTTTTCAAGATTATCCTCCATATATTCAAACACAATATTTTGAATTAATTTCCCCGCATCAGTTCTGGAATAAAAAAAATCCTACTATTATTAAAATAATATACAAGTATTTTAACAATATGATCACATTCTTTAACTTCAAATAGTATTTCATATTCTCTACTTAAAAGATTTCCAACCTTCTCAATTCTTTTAAGAGCAACTTTCTATTTTGTATTATGATCGTAGGCCTCAAAGACATATCCTTTATATATATTTAAATGCTTACCAAAAGTACCTGATCCTGCTACCTTAATGATTTCAATTGATGGAAATTTTGATAATGGCATACTCATTAATTAAATTTATATAATTCTATTTTAAATTATGGAAAGATAATATAATCACATTTCCAAAATCAATATTTTAAGATTATAATCTAAATAAATATAATTAATATATTTAGATTAATTTCAATATTAATTAAGTAATAATATTTATATAAGCATTTGTTATAATAATATTCTTAGTAAAATCTATTATAAGGTAAAATTTAGATTATAAAACTTAGATTATAATATTTTTATTTTTCTTAAAATAAGTATTTGTATAAAATATAATTAAAATCATTCAATTTTCATAATAAGCCTTAAAATTACTTTGTTTTTTCATTTATAGTTATTTAAATAAATTTTAACATAGTAAATTTTAATAATTATTTGATTTAGTTTTAAGTAAATTACTGTTAAAAGGAAATTTTGATATAAAAACTAAGTTTAGTAACAATTTTTAAGTAAAAGAGATGTAATATTTATTCATAAAGTTTTTTGTTTAATTTGGATGAAAAAATCTTGGGGATTTAAAGTTGAATCCCATAGTTTTTATTTTAATTATTTATTAATAATTTTCAAGATAAATATTGTTCAAATGGGATGTTCTATATAAAAACCAAAATAAAATCAAAGAAATCATTTAGATTAGATAGAAAGATTAATACAATCAGACTGTTTGAGTAATGAATCAAAATTTATGATTAATAATAATCCAATAATAAAAAGAAGAAATTGTAGTAAGGAAAAGAAAAATCTTCAAGGATCATTGTAAATTTGAATTAATGATATTTAAATAGTTTATCTTTCTTTAACATATATTATTCTTTATGAATATCAAATTTATGATATTTATACATATATTTAATAGAGGAATAAATCAGAATATTTATTATGTTTTTATAATATTACTCATTCTAAATTTAGCATCCATTCTTTAAAAGAATTATCCCCTCCGCTACTGATGACTTTATTATCTTAAGTAATAATAGCTGTTAAGACTCCTCTTTTATGAGCATCTAAATTTAAATTTAATTTTAAGTTTACCTATTCTTTCAAGTACTCTTTAACCATCTTATAAATTCCAAACCATTATTTTATTATCATAACCAGTAGATACTGCAAATTTACCTGAAGATGTAAAACATAAAGATGAAATGATAGTAGTGTGATGAGTCCATCTATCCCCAAATAATACTTAATTTTATTTATAATCTATAAGTTTCATTTTACCAGTTGTATCACCACATAAGAATCTATCACCTTATAAGGCCATAGCTGTTATTTTAGTTTATTGTAATTAAAAAGTTTATTCTTCAGCACCACTTTCAATGTTGATGGCATGAATTTTTCCTTTAAGATCACCTACTAAAAATACTGATTCAGCTAATAAAAAACTACTAACTTCATAACCTAATTAATATTCTCTAGTTAATTGTAAATTAGTAAATTCTAATATAACTCCATTTTCCATAAGCAAATAACAAATGTTAGGATTAGATTAATTTGCTTATAATTTTAAAGTTAAACCTTTACAATCAATAGTTTTCTCAATTGTATTAGTATCTAAATTAGTCAATTTAATTTATTCTCCTCCTAATGAGTATAATAAATTTTATGAAAATGATAGTGAGATCACTTATTTAGTATGATGTATTCCTGTTGGCCTTATTGAATTCAGATTATCCCATATTACTATAAATATTAATTAAATAATTATTACATAATCTTCCATTATTATCACCTGTTATAAGTTTATTTCCATAAACCACCATCTAACCAACAAGAGCATTATGTCCAAACAATCTTTAAGTAGGTCCCTCTTCAACATTTAGAACATCCTTCCAAACATTTAAAGCACCAGTTAATGATAGAGAATATGCAACATTTTCATTTACAGTTACTCCTACTTGCATATCATCAATTTCTTATGAATTTGTAATTTTCAATGTTTTTAATAATCCATCAAAATTCCATACTTTTAATGTAGTATCATTAGATGAAGTTACAAATGTTGTATCATTAATCCAACTTACTCCTGTAATACTTCTAGTATGAGGATTATCTGTTGTAATTTCTTTAACAACTTCTCCTGTCTTTCCTTCATATACATAGATCTTCTTATCAGCTCCAACTGAAACAAAATGATCACCACTTTTATTATATTTAATTGAAAAGATGCTATTATTATGTTATTTCATTGACTTCTTAAATTTAAATGGAGGTCCTTCAAACCAACATATTGAAGTTTCATCTCCTCCTAAAGCCAATCTAAATGGTCTTTAAGGTCTCATTGCACAAGAATTTAAAGTTTAAGATACTCCACTAATTTCTCCAACACTACTACCAGTGTCTAGAAGTATAGTTCTGCCAAAATAAGTTTTGCCTTCTCCTACTATTGCTAATCTTTCATTATCTCCTGTCCAACAGATATCTTTTATAGCACCTCCTAAAACATCGTCATATTATCTAAATACTGGATGAGGCTAAACTACATTCATCAAGTTACCTAAATGTTTAATTCCCAAACCATAATGGATCCCTTTGCATCTCCTGAACAACATAAATTTCCACTAGGTGAAATAGCAACTGCTGTTGTATCAAACTTATGTTAATCAAATACAGAATATTTAGATAGATCTTCTAAATTTCTTACAATAACACTATTTGAAATGCAATAAACTAAATATTTCGAACTAGAATCAATTCTTGAAGGTCTTCCTCTTTCTGTTCCAGCTGTTGGTGGGTACTTAACTTGGCAAGCAATTTATTCCATTAAAAATAATTATCAAAAATTTTTATTTGATTATACAAATTAAAAAAAAAATAATCTGAGAATCTTTTTTATTTATCTATAGAAAAAATATCTAACTAATTAAATTGAAATTCAAAATAAGTTATTCAACTTATAATTTAATATGTACAATTAATATGATTTGTTTTTATTATTCTATTATAGAATTTAGAGTTAATAAAACTTATAGAATTATTAAATTTGTAAATAAATAGTAAACATTTTATTTAAGTTTATTAAAAATCACAATGTGAATCTCTATAAATCACTTATATTTAGTTCTAAAAATTACTATCTATATTACATATATATTCCATTATTTATTTTAAATAGGGCAATAATAAATTAATTTGATTAAAAAATATGCTTTTGTTAATTTAAAAGTTATCCTTTTCATTGTGATTTTTAGAATTAATTATCTTATTTATCATAAATATTCTCAATTTCCTTTTTTTATCTAAAATTAATATTAAGTCATTAATTAAAACATGAGTTTAGAGAATGCTATTGTATAATGGCTTAACAAATATTAGTAATTGAAAATTTAGTCTTTTGAAAGTTTAGCAGATGGTAAGGCTACAATTATATTAAAGGATGTACATTTAGTTAATTGTTGAATTTAGTTGATCCTACATTCTTTTCTTTGGCAAGTGCAAAAAACTTAAAGATTGATACTGATGTTTAGAAGGTTTAAGGACATTTAATTGATATGCTATAAAAAGTTTAATAGTATCGAACAAATATTCAATGCAAACCACCTGATTATATTGAGATTGATGTTTTTGAAATCACTGTGAATTAAAATAAGCAATAAATTTTGGCATTGTTTGAATTGATTATGAAAGTTATCCTTTCTTCAAATTAAAGAGGAAAATTTATTGAGCCTATTTTAATGTTAGAGGAGAAAGATCAAGAAACTTTAATGCATTTTCTTAAAAATCATCTAGATGAAGTATAATATATTTAATATATATATAAAGTCAGAAGAAAATCAAACTAATGAATGGCAAGAAGAAAACTATATTTAAAATTTAGTGTAAAAAATGGATGAAATTGAATCATACAATATAGAACTTAAAAAATAATTAAATGAATCTGAAGAGAAAAAAAAATCATTAAAATGTGCTTTAGATGATGCATTAGTCTAAATAGAAAATAAAGATATGGAAATCAGAGCATTAACAGAATCTAAATGTCATTTAGAAAAATGTAAGTTATTTATATTTATTTTAAGGTTTGGAAGAGAAGATGGACTTTTAACATGAGTATAAGGAAAGTGAAAAAATTCATTAAAAGTGTTTGGAACAAGAACATAAATTAGCTTAATATGAATTAATAATAGAAGATTTAAAAAGGAAAGAAACCTAATTTATATAGCTAAAGGAAGAATATTAGTAACACAAATTTAAATTATAAGAGAATGAAAAATTAGAATAAAAAATTGAAAGTGTAAGTGATTAGAAAATATTAATTAGCTACAAGAAAGAAGAGAATTAGACAAAGATGTTTATTAAAAAGGAAAAGAAAGATATGAAAAAGAAATAACTACATTAAAATAAAATATTAAAGAGTTATTATTATAATAATCTGAATTGAAAGAATCAAAATTAAATTTAGAATTAGAATTATAATAAAAATAAGCAAGATTTGAAAGATCATAAGAATAAATTAAAATTATGGAAACTGAATATGGATAAAAAATTAGAGAACTTTAAGATTTATTAGAGACTTTACATTAAGTTGAAGAGGAAATGCCTAAAATAACTAGTAGCAATAATTAATAATTATCTTAAGAAATGAAATTATCTGTTAATATGAAAAATGAAAATTTTGAAAGAGAATATTATATTAAAGAAAATCATAAATTAGAAGAAAAAATAAAAGAATTATAAGCTAAAATTAATGAAATGTAAATGGAAGAAGAAAGTAAGAATTAGAAAAGCAAATTTGAATCATAACTTTAATAGTCTTAATAAATTTCACTGTTAACAGATAAAATTAAATAATTTTAAGAACATAATCAATAATTAAAAAAATAGAATGAAGAATTGAAAAAATAGACTTAAAATAAAAAAGTCACTCAAATTGATTATGAAATTAGTGTGTTATCTTTATTGTCAGAAGCTTTAGCTAAAAAAGTGAAGGAATATAAAAGTTAAGAAAAAGATTAATGATTGATTTATAATAATTCATAAATTTAAATCATGAATAATTTTTTAAGGAACAAAAATAATTATTGAAAAACCTTATTATGAATAATTCAATAATAATAATAATAAGATAAAGATGGGATCAGCATGTTAAAATTGCCATCAAAATTCTTAAGGTGAATCAGAAATTTAATTAAAACCAGCTCAAAAGGTCCCATCTAAATAAACAATAGTTAGAAATACTGGTTAGTATAAATATATTTATTTAAGATTCTGTTCCTTTGAATCAAGAAGATGAAGAGTTAGTCAAAAATGCATCTGTCATTACAAAGTTCCATAAAATTTAAATGAAGAATTAAGGGTATTATGAAGGAGAGTGGTTAAATGGTATGAGACATGGATAAGGAATATATGTATCAGAAAATTTAAACTATAGACTTGGAGTGATAATACAGTTTATACAGGTTAGTTTTAAAATGATTAAATGCATGGAAAAGGTTAAATTATCCATCCTAATGGAGATGTTTATGAAGGGGAGTGGGCTAATGATTTAGCTAATGGTTTCGGAATTTTCAAATAAAGTAATTAAAGTACCTATACTGGATAATGGAAAGATGATCTTTAACATGGTGATGGAATAGAAGAATGGCCTTAATAAATTAAATATGAAGTTTTTTAATTAAGTATTATTAGATGAATAGGGTTAATATGTAAAAGGAAAAAAACATGGAAGAGGGAAAATAGTTTTTGAAGATGGTAGTAGATATGATGGAGAATTCGTTAATAATTAGGCTTGTGGTAATGGAGAATTTTATTGGTAAGAAGGAAAATATTATAAAGGTTAATGGAAGGATAATCAAATGAATGGTAAATCTTTATTTATTAAATAGTTTACAGGTAAAGGAGAAATGTTTTGGCCTGATGGCAAACATTATGTAGGAGAATATGAAAATGATAAAAAACATGGATAAGGATAATTCACATGGGAAAATGGAAAAGTATATATTGGAGGATGGAATCAAGGAAAACAACATGGTAAAGGTTATATAATTGAGGATGGTATCAAAAGAGAGTGTATATTTGAGAATGGTAGATTAGTGAATAATAATTGATATTATTGCTTATCACTCTTACAAATTTTCTATTTCTTACATAGTTGAAAAGAGATCTCTTTCATTTTTTAAGTATATTTTGAGTATAGATTTATCATCTAAATTTCCTTTAAAACCTCTCAATTATGTTAACATTTTTAAATCTTCTTCGTCAATGTTAATTATATTCTCTATAACATGCTATTATTACAAATGTCTAAATTGATCTTAATTTTGTTAAATAAGAATTGATAATTACACATTTTATTATTTAATAGTTTCTATGGTATTATTCCACTCAGTTTGATTAGATACTCTTTATCTTAATTCACTAACAATTTATTCTGAAAGCAAAGCCTAATATTATTCTTTTTAGGTAGGAATTTTAAATTAAATTTCTTCTTCAATATTTTTGATGTTGTTATTTGACAATAAAATTAATGCTTCTTAATAATTATTATTAGTCTTTTTCAAAGCATCAATAATATCATTTTCAGAGTATCCAATATCTATTAATTCTTTATATTATTCTTCATTTTTTTAAATTAATTATGTCTAAACATCTTGAACATTCCCAAAGTTTTAATTTAAAATCTTCTTTATCATCAATATTATGCTATTTCCATTTTTTATATTACACTCTTAAATAGTTTTTTAATCATCTAAGTCCTTAGCATTAAATTTTAATGAAATTGCTTAAATTGGCACTCCTTTCTTTTAAGCAATAAATTCCTTAATGTCAATAATTTTTGTTTACACAGGTACATACCGTTTTAATTTTTCACCTGATAAAGATGAAATAATAATATTAATATTTTCCATAAAATAACTAAATTAATATAATTTCTTTCTAATAATTTACCAATAATTATGTCCAAAACGAAAGGAAAACACATTTAATGTGTTATATTTTGATATATAATTTTATAAAAGTTAAATATCCAGAAGCACTTTAAAAAAATCTTATGTCCTTAATGAAATTTAAAAAAAAATTTGTTATGTCTTATTATTAATTTTCACATATTACTTTGAGATAATATATATAAATATGTAAAAATAAATATTTGTATTTCAGTACATGATTCTCCCTATCTATCTAATGAAATTGGTCTATAATATATTTAACCATCTTCTTTTCAGATTATTTAGAGATAAATAAATTAAAATGTTAACTAAAATCATTCATTGTTATGATTTTTCATAACCTTTAGACATTTTTGGTTGAATATTTATTAATATATTTTAATATTAATCATTCAATGTATTAAAAATCCATACTTAACCCATCTTAATTCATATCAGAATAATATTCGTATTGATAATTTGAGTTATCTTAGAAATTTAAATTACATGAGTAATTCAGTTCATTTCTATGAAAATCATTTTAATCAAATATAATTTCTGCTTTTTTTGAAGACTCCATGTTTTTTAAATGGTCTTCTCTAGCTTTTTCTAAAATCTTTCTTGACTAAAATGGAGTTAATTTTGAATAATATGGGTTTTATATCTAAAGGTACTAAGTTCTGATGCGACTATAAAACCTATTCTTTATTTAACTATCCTATAATAAATATTTTATATTACCGATCTACCTTAAAGTAATTTTTATATTTAAGACCACTTTGGACCAATCTCTAAGTACTTTTCATATATTAATTAATCTTCTTCTTAAGTAAAGTCTTATAATTTTAAATCAGGATCAAGTGTATTAGTGTATCGACCTCTACATTATTTGCCAGTTCTATTCTGAAACATTTCAGCAATTTTAGACCATTTTTTTCCAATTTTTTAAACAAGATATATAAGCTATTCATCTTCTTCAGGTTGCCATAGTTAATTTTTTCTACTCTAATATATAATACAACTGTATTACTCTCTTTCCTTGAAGTCTCTTCCATCTTTGGGCACATTAATTAGGATTTCTATTTGGTACGTATTATGCTATTTCCATCCAATTCATTCCACATATTCTTATGCCTTTTTTTAGCAAATTATCTTCCTTCTTATTCCACTTTGCTCTAATGATTTAAGTGCTCATACAAGTTGGAACTTTTTGAATATTTTTTTGTCTCATCGTTAGGTGCAAATATTATGATAATTATTGAGATTCCAGAATATTTAGATGAGGTTATAATCCAAATAATCTAGTATATATGATATTCGATTCTTCTTCATAGTACCAAAGTTTTAATGTTTCAAATAAACATGAAAGAAGTTAAAAATCATTATATATATGTATTAAAAAAACAGATCTCAGCAATACATCTTTTCAATCTATTTATTTCTTATTCTAAGTATTTTCCTGTTAGTTTTATTAATATCCACTATATTCTCTCTTTTAAACTCTTAATTTAGTTATCTGTGACAACATAACTACATTTTCTGAATTTATATACTAATATTTTTCGGATTGGTCTTTCAGCAACCATTTAATGGTGATTTGCTTGCTAAAAAATGTTATATAACATTATATCCTACCTTGTAATTATGGTTTTTCAGGGTTATTTCAAATTGATTATAAATTAGGAACACTACATTTTCATTTTATGATTCAATATAAAATGTTTTCAAACTTCATCAAATTCTTTTTGCAAACAGAAATATCGTTTCAAACATTTAAATTAATAGGTAACCCAATTTAATTAGCTGATAGCAGATTCTTAAAAATTCATTTCTTTTTTTTTGAGAATATTTAATTTCAAAAAATTGTATTAAAAACTTAAACATAAATTTTTAATTTAGACAATATTAATGTATATTTGATACTTTTATAATGGAAAATAATTAATTCCAATATTGATACAAGAGATAAGATCTTACATAAACCAATTTTATGGTTTCACTACTGTTAAGAAAGAATATTGTAAAAAATAAGGAATTAATTAAAAAGTTATAATTGAATATAAAACTTAGAAGTTATAGAGTCTATTTCAAAAGTAGTTTTAATTTAAGATCAACTAAAATTTTAATACTATTTTCATACAAATTAATACTAAGAAAATATAATACATATTAAATTCATATTATCATATTTGCAATTTTCGTTTTATATTTTAATTTTAATTTGAAATATTTTATCATTTTAATTAGTTAAAAATGAAATATTTAAGTTTTTAATCATGCATCATCAATTATATAATCAAAAAATAATCTTTTTATTTTGATTTATATATTATTCGTTTCTAAGCTAAGTTTATAAGGAATATTGAAATTTTACAATTATATTAAATTATTAATATATATTTGTTATTCATAAAATCATTTTCCAATTGCAAACAAAATATTGATAATTAAAAGACCAATAATTGCATAAGATAATTGAATTAATTTATCTAATTTTAAATTTAAGTCTTATTAACCAGATTAAGATTATTTATTATCTATAATTACTTCTTTTATTATCAATTATTAATTTTATTACTTATTTTCTAGTAACATTTATGATTCTTGCTATAATTCCTCTAGATTTATCACTTAAGTCTATTATTTTTCCCTTTATACAATTTCCTTTTCTACTTAAGATTCTACCTATTATGGAATTTCAAGTTCAGATTTTGGTTATTATCTAATATCACTCTATATTCTTTTAGATATTATTTTATTTTGCCCTTCTTCATATACTTATTTCAAACATTTTTCCCAAACATCTGTGTTTTCTTTTTTACTACCACTTTCAATTTTACCTTTAAAAACAGTTGACTTAAGAAAATGAATATAAAATCCATAATTTACTTGACATCCTCCATCTATTTAATGAATATGCCAAAAAACTCTGCAACAAAAACTATCTGCATATGGTATTTTAGCAAATTTAACTTCTTTTTCTATCAAAATTTCATCTTAATTAAAATAATATAAAATATCTTCTGCAAAACAATGAACCACATCTGGTGCAAACATTTATTTTTCTTTAACTGGATGTATAAAATTGATAGGTCTTTTTGAAATCTATCCAATTTACGGTTAAGGTTAATATTTTTTAAATTCAATATCCTTATCCTAACATATGACAACTTAATAATAATGAGGAAATGAAAGACAATTTTCATAAGGATTATCTAATAAAAAGAAATCAATAAATTCTTTTACTGTGACCTTTAATTAAGTTTTGAATTTTAATATATTAGGTTAATTCATGAATCTATTCTACTTATTTTAAATCATTATTTCATTATATAGACTAGTATTTTCAACATCAATTTGAGATACTTTGGGTAAAGCAGGATTAGATTTATTTTAAGATTCAGTATTGATGATGGTAGATTACTATTATTATTTATCAGTTTTTATTTATTAATTGGTAGTTTAATTTTATTGTTATTAAGAGGTAGATTCAAAAGTAGACTTTTTCTCTTATATCTATGGAGTTGGTTCATTAATAGTTATTTATGGAATCTATTATTATTATACTATAGATTATTATTAGATATTCTAATTTCTAGGGCTTTTATCAATTTATTATAATTTATCATTTGATTATTCTAAATTTTAAATATTTATAGTTTCTATTAAATTAGCTTAAGGTTTTGGAGAAGGACTTCTAATTCCTTATTATTTTTCTTAAGGTTTTGCTAATAGTTATGTATCTGCATAAATTTATTATATATTTCTTTCTGGATCATTTTCAATTTTTTCTTCTATTATTCCTTATTCTAATCCTTTTACTTATTTCAAGCTTCCTAATGTTCTGTCTCTATTTGCTAAACTTGCAAAGACTAAGATTCCTTTTTAAGTTTTAAACTCAAGAGCTGCATCTACCATATATGCTTTAATTCTTCTTATACTTTATATATCAATTGATGGAATGCCTAAAGCAGTAGTTCCAAAGAGAGTCTTATTAAATTAAATTAAATACTTTTCCATTAAAATATGAGTGGAAACAAACTTTAGATGAAAAAATATACATTCTTCCTTACAATAAAATTTTATTTTCAAATGCACATGCATAACTGGCTATACACTTATCTCCATCTAAAATTCTAAATTTTTCAATTAGTTTTTAAGAAACTTTAACAGAGCCTTCTTCTAAATTAATATCATCACTTTCACTTTCTTCCTATTATTAGAGTAATGTAGCTGTTTCTATTTTAGATTTAATTTCATCAGTCATTTCAAACATCCTTTAAAATTTTAAATCTATTTAATCAAGTTTAATATTAATAATTGTTCCATAATCAACTTAAACTATTTTTTGTTAAATTTAACTTAAAGTTTCTTCTTATTATTTTGTATAAGTTATAATTTCATCAATGAATGAACTATAATGATTTAATATTTATTCTAAAGTTTAAATAATTTGATTTGATCTTTGAAATTCATTTGCTCTAATTGAATCAATTGAGTATTTAATAGCAGTACAATTATCTTAAATAGATTTCTTTAATTATTAAAGTAGATTATCTTTTATTGCTGGTTTTTATTCATTTTCTAACATTTATTATTTGAGACCTTAAAAATCTTTTAACATTTTTTGATACATATTTAAAAAACTTTTTTCTTAAATTTTTTATTCTTTTATTAATTAATCTAAACATTATGCTTTGAGTTAAATAAATTAAGATTATTAATTAAATTTTTTGGAATATTATTCATTTTACTTAACTAATAATTCTTAAACTTATAGAATTGGTTTGATGAAATTTGATTTATCTTTATCTGATTTATCCTATATGAATAATTAAATTAATTACTTAGATAAATTATAATGATGTTTTTATTGATTTTTATAAATTTTTTGAAACTGAATCCATTTGATTGGATATTTCTATTAGATAATTTGGTAGAGCCTTTTAATTTTTGAGTCTATCATTTATAAATGATAATTAAGCATCAATATGTTTATGTAAAATATCTGGAAACATTATATATTCTGAATCTGTTAATTATTTTTTCTCAATGATTTTATTCATAATATTAATATATCTAAATTAATTATCTTATTCATATTTAGATGTTATTATTCGATCCTCAATTTCTTATTCATATTTTGGCATAGTTAAGATTTTCTCTTATTTTTCATCCATCTAACCTTTTATCCAACAATTTGCTGATAATTTGTGTTAATCAAGTTTCATAGTGATTTCTACAAATCTTTAATAAGTTAATTAATGAGCTTGGATCAATTACTATCGAGAATCATCAATAGCTTAATTGAATTCTTTTGTTTTAATTGTTAAACTATCAAAAGTTTCTTTATATTACTATTCTGCAGGCTCTACTTATTTTACTAAATCTTTTAATTTCTAATCATTTTTTTGAGATAGATTGAGATCATATCCAGTTAAGGCATCTCCTGAATTTTTTTTACTTGAACTCAAAGTAGTTTCTATTTCTTTACATAATTTATCATATTTATCTTTTGCTTTTTTAAAATTTTATCTATGTTATGCAAGTTATTATGATTATTAAAAATTACCATCTGTTATTATCTTTGTGAAAATATTCATTTTCTCATTATATTACTCAATACTTTGAGAAAAGAATTACTAAAATTCTGAAAATTATGAAAGTGTAGATTTTGAGGTCATTTCAAAAAGTTATATGAATTCTATCAAATTTTATCCTTGATTTATATAATTAATAATACCTAAACTAATTGGATCATTAACTGATAATGATATCTATTAATAGTATTATTTATTTAATGGTCCGAATTTCTTAAAATGTTACTCAAATTCATTTTATGAATCAGATGTGTATTTGGAGTATTACTTCATTATTTTTTTAAGATCCTCCAATTTATCATTTAAAGTTGATGTTGCAGTTTATTCTGAAGGGTTTAGCATTAATAATAATTTTATTTATGAAAAATATACAATATCAATTTAGTTATATAATATTCAACCACTCTACAAGTTCTTATAAATTAGGTTTTCTTGATAAATAATCTTAAATTGCCTCTGTAAATTCATCACTAACTAATCCTTCTGCTCTTTCACCAAATGAAATTTCAGAAACACTTTTTTTCCTTTTAGAATCCTTTTAAATGAATGGAGATATTATTTCATCAAAATATTTGAAAAATTAATATTGAATTTCGAAAGTTCTTAAATTTATTTCAAATCTTAAAATTTTCTTTTTTGAATTTGATTATAGATTTTTGTCATCTATTCTACATCTATGACTAAATAAAATTTAAATTGATCCTCTTTCTGGATCTAATTTCCATAAAGTTCCCCAAATTTTATTATTAGATAGCAATTATAATTCTAATTCATCCACTTTAGATAACAATATAGGCATCTAATGAATAGCTGAAAAGATTATTTCATTTGCCATTTTATTAGAATTCTAAAATTAATGTTTCAATGATAATTATAATATTTCTCCTTTATTTATTTCTGTCTTTTATTTATAATCAACCTTCAAACCAGATAATACCAATCTATTCTCTTATAATTCTCTATAGAATTCATTAAATATTTCTTAAATTTCTAGATTGCCATCTATTTATTTCTAATTCTAAAATGTATATTAAACATTGGCTTATTTATAGGTAAATGTTATTTAATATTATTTTTTATCATAATAGATATGACTTACTTTATATCCAAGACATTATATCAAAATAGCTCTTATTTATTAAGAAGATCCTTTTTATTCCTACTTTTTAGGTTCATCTAATTAATTTTCATTTAAATTTTCTATTTCTTATATTTAATTGAGTTTATTATTATTATTCATTTTTGAATCTAATTGTTTTTATTCAATCTCATTTAATTAGATCAACTTCTATTGAAGTTTACTAATCTTTTAAGTCAATAAATCTTAAATAATTAAAATTTCTTATTCCTCTCTTGTAATCACTCTTTTTAAAGTTGCCTCATTCATTTCAGCCAATGAACTTAATTATTAGAGTTCTTTGACAATATCTATTTCAATAGGCTTCACATTTTTTCTATAAGATTACTTTCCACTATTTTCTTCAATTTGAATTGCTTTGGGTGTTCGAAATGGTTATTATTATGGAGTTTGAATAATTTAAGTTTGTATAGTTGGTTATTTCTATATAGACATTTATATTTAAGTTTATTAAGCAACAGGAACCTTATTTTATTGAGGTTCCTATTTTTTTGAACTTGGTTATTCTTCAAAAATTGTACTTAATTTTGGCGGAGTAGATTCAGCAACTCTATTGCCTATAAATGGAATAAATGAAACTTTTCTAGTTCTATTACTTTCCAAATCAAATTAGGTTGTTGGCATACTTTAAGGAGCTTAAGGAATAGACTACATTGGTTGAGTGATTTATGCTGAAGGAATTTTTTAATCTTATTTTTGTTCTTCAACTGTATTGTTATGTAATGAAGACACATTTTATTCTTCTTTAGGTTCAGGTTGACTTTCAAAAAACCAGGAAACTCTCTTTTCTTATTTACAAAATAATTTTACTTCTACTCATATTTATTGAACTTCAAATTTAAATTAATATACTAATAATATATATATTAATTGATATTAAAATAGTCAATATAATTATTATTAATAATATATTGTTGCATATTAATGAAATGAAAATAAGAATCAATCAGAGGGACACAATTTATTTTTGATCCATTAATAATTATCTTTGATATCTATAATAAATTGCCTTAAAATCAATCCTAATTATGTTAATACTGATAAACTAATAAAACTTAACATTGCCCATCCAATATTGGTTCTTGTTTTCGAGGAATACTTTTATTCTTTATCATCGAATGCTAAAACGACACAAAGAACTAATACAAAAAATATAGTAGCATCAGGTACTGCATTTTAAATGTAATCCACTTTACTTTCAAAAGGATTCTTATAAATAAGTAACATCAAATTTAAAAAACTAGCAGCACAACAAAATGATGTTTAAAATAATGGATAATGATACAATCCAACTAAAAATACAATAAAAAGCATCTTTCTTGCAAAACTTATACTAAAATACATTTTAGATATATCAGATTTGACATCTATTCCTTCATATAAAGTACTATAATCAAATTAATATGATTTTGTATTCAATAATACACTAGATTATTTAGATACTTTTATAGCTATGAGAAGTATTGACATACAAATAAATAATCCAATAAATGATAGGAAAATCTATGAGAAAATTAATGGTTAATCACTTTTATCCATAAATTATAATTGTAAAACACTTGCCATACATAAATCCAAATATACTAAATTTAACTATTTAATTATGATTGCTTTAAAACTGATCTAGTATTAATATGCATTATCATAAATATATTGAATTATAGATGGAAATTATTTAGGTTATTCTAATTTTATTTCTGTTTCTGGTTATTGAGATTCTAAGTTTTAATCCAAATGAAAAATTGGCATTTATTTAATTTTAACAGTCCTAACCTTTTATTTAGGACTTCTTTAATATATCTTTTCAATTATGAAAACAACACATTTACACATAGGATAAAGACTAGCACATAAAAGCCATGTAACAAAACACATCATCATATTATTAATGAAATAAGGATCAACTCCTTTTTATTCAAATCTAAATGGACTTTCAATATAATCTTAATCAGTTTCCATTCTAACAATTGGAGTAAAATCAAATGGATTCATTAATTCCCATGCAGGATTTAAAAATATAATATTAACATTAGCTGGATACATTACATTAAAATAATAGAAATTATTTAACCAAGCTAAGATATCTAAAATACTAAAGAAAAAGTTAAATCCACCTAGTAAAATTGTTCCTGGACCCAAAAAATAAAGGGCTGATACAAAATTACTCTATAATTATTAAACTTATTATGCTTATTCTTATTCTTCATCAGTATAAAATGTTTCACTTCTTGCTTAGATTATCATTTCTTCAAAATCTACAGATAATAATCTTTATTTATTTTTATAAAATATCACATGTATTACATCATAATCTCTAACATTTCTATAAAATTTAAAAGATATTTAACAATATTTCATAGAACCTTCTTCCTTTAAATTTAAAAAAACTTTAAAATCTTTTGGATCAAAATTTTCTAAAAATACTTTTATATACTTTTCATCACATTTAGCAGGATATTCACCAAAATCTAATTTAAGTGTATTAGTAGTAGTTTTATTAGAATATTTTAATTCCAATTTATTTTATAATTAAATAACTTAACATATACCATTAGCACATGTAAATCCTGTTTCAATAAAACATTTTGAAGAACATCCATCACCATCAATTAAATTACCATCATCACATTATTCTTCTAATGTTTATCTATAATCACCACATTTAGCTTAACATTTTCCATTCACTTCATAATATCCTCTTTCAGTTTCACAATAAGAACATTTACCTTTTAATGGACTTATTGTAGGAACACTACACTTAGTACATTAATCTATATAATTGCATTCTAAACATTCTTATTTACATTAAAAACATCCATTTTAATAAAAGAAATAGCCAGGTTAACATTATAAACATTATAATTAATTTTAATTCCTTTTACAATCCATACAATTTTCTGGACATTTAATACAAATTGAATATTTTCCTATTTCATTTAAACATGACCAACCTTCATCCATAATACAATTAGAACATCCATCCCTTATATTATAATTTCCATCATTACATTCTTATCCTATTTAATATCCTTTAGTAATATCACAAACTATTTCTTTAGATGATAAATCAAAACAATCTTCTTACAATGGTCCTAAACATCCAGAACATTTTTCATAACATTTCTAACAATTATTATATTCATCCAAATAATAGCCTTTACTACAATAACATGATTATCCAGATTATGTAAAGTCAGATGAACATAAAGTACAATAATTTTATTTATTACAAGAATAACATTATGAATCACAAGGAGTACATGAATCATTAAAGAAATATGTAGATAATTAACAAGAATAAGATTGTCTATCATAATTTGGATCATATGACCATTATAGACATTCATCAATTCCTGGTCCTGTACAAGCAGTACAAGTAGGATAACAATAATCAATAACTATTCTCATATTTGAAATTCCTGATTTAAAGAAATTAGAAGAACTTGATGATGAAAAGATACTTAATTTCAAATATTTTGAAGAATGAGCAAATGTAAAATTAACAGTTGTTGTTTAATATAATCTAGCAGGATCTGTACTAATTGTTTATGTATAATTTCCTAGATTAATATAGACATCACCTTTAGACTGAGCAATATTTAATAAATCAACTTTGAAGGATGCTCTAATTTAATAATGTGGTTTCAAATATTAAAATTTCTGATAGTATCTTGTAGATGAAACCTATAGACCACCTAAATGACGATATCCATTAAAATAACTAGTTATATTAGGTACAGTTCCATGTAGTTTAGTTGAGACTAATTCTTTCAACAAATATTCAGATTCTAAAATTATATATTTATAATACGTTAAGTTTCATCATCCATTTCTATACAATTTGTATCCTATTAATAACTATAAGATAAGGGACAAGTGGCTACACATTAATTCTTCAGTAAAAAATAACCAGTTTCACATTTAGTACATTCTTAATCATTCAAACAATTTCCACAATTTTCTGTGCATCTTAAAACATCTACAATGAAATCAGAAATTGCCCATCTTGAAGTACTTTATTTATAGGTATCACTATATATTTATATTTTCAAATTATCACTAGTATGATTAAGATAATAATCAACAAGAAAAATTTAACATTCATTTATCTCAGAATTTGTACATGAATCTTTATTTGCATAATTTATAAATCCATCCTTACTATATAATAATGGCTTTTATCTCACATTATCAATTATAGTTATAATATATTCATTAACAGCCCAAGTGTAAAATAAATATAAATTAAATCTAACTCTTATTCTATAATGTCCAACCAAACTATTCTAATTTATTGTTAATATTTATCTCTCTTCAAACATACCAATCAAATAACTATCCTTATGCCTAAATTATAATTGATTCTTTGTAGTACGTGTCATAGAAATTGACCATAAGGATGATTTATTATTTTAACCATGTTCAAAAGAATTTAATAAAGAAGTCTCTATATTTTTGATTAAAGAACTTCCAAAACAAACTTTATAATAATTTAGAAATGTATTCTTTGGACAATAAGCTATACAATTATCTGCATATATGTATGGAATAGAGATAGGGCATTTACATGTATTTGATATTTTACCTTTTTTAGCTAATTAAGGGCATGTTCTACAATCATTTTCTGTTGGACCACTGCAACTTGAACATTATGGATGACATTCTTATGCATTAACTTAAATATTTCTAATTCCAAGTCTAGGAAGAAATTCAGGTTTGTTCATATTATTTTTTGTAGCAAAATCAATAGTTTACATATTGAATTTCAATTCCAGATACTAATCTATATGATAAAACTCAATTTCCCTTGTCATATATTTTTAGGGAGATTTTCTAAAAAGTATAACTAATATATTACTCACTACAAATAAATCCTTAATTAGATTTATCAGTCCATATGTATGTATATTCATCAATGATATTGTTATTAAGTAATAGTTAAATTGATTCCCCTTACCATTATCCTAAAAACATATAGTCAATATAAAGATGTATAAAATAATGTGGTTTTTCAATTGATGTGTTGAGTGATAGTGAAGGATTTTTTTCATCTAAAATCGCCATGTCATAATTTAAAACTGAACAAGAATAGGTTTATGGTATTGGTGTAAATTCACTTAAGTCAGATAGATCGCGAAGAATTTATTTCACATATTCGGCTTAGCACACTACTAAAAACAATGCAAAAGTTATCATTTATTTTAATAATCCTTTATATTCATAATAATTGAAATATTTCAAATGAAAAATAAATCTTTTTCATATCATGTTCTTGTTTAAAATCAAAAAAAAACAACATTAGACTAAAGTTATCAAAAAAATAATACAAAAATATATACTTATACTACTAATTATTATATATTTTAACCATCTCTTAGTGTAGTAGAAGATTAGATATAAATTTTTAACAAAGTCCTCTTTATTACAAATTTATGTAATATTTTGGGAGATTTTTAAAATTTAACATTTATTAATGTTATTAAAACTTATTCAATTTATTTGTTCAAAGAATTTTCAATTATTAACTTTCTTATTTATTCTAAGGTTCATTCTTGATTTCTTTTTACATATAGAAATTATTTTATATAATTTAATATCCATTAACGTATTTGTTTAAATATTATACTCAAACACTAGGTCCAAAGCTCTTGTCCTTAAAAAAATTAGTTAACATATATATTTAAATTAAACATACGCTCATCAAAACTACTATTTTACATAATGCACACCATTTTACTTAATTCTCAGTACTTTCCATCACTAACAATATATTATATTCATGCACATACATTTTTCATGGTAATTCTCTCTATCTATTTGAAAATGTTGATTTCTATAAACTTTATGCATCTTAGATAATACTTATTTTAATGATCCTTCAGTCTCATCCATTTAATCTATATTTTATGTCTTTATCAATTATACTTTTATCAGCAAAGTTCTTATCTACACCACTAATATCTATGTCAAAGCTAAATATCTTATAATAACTATCATTAGATTAGAAGCATAGGTAAATTTCTTTATTTCCTTTAACAAGGTGTTTTAATTATCCTTCTCTTTTTCCTTCTTAAGATTCTAAAGTTTTGTTATATTAGATATCATTTTCAGTAATTGTTTCAAATAACTAATTCAAATTTATACATACTTCCACAAAAACATTTTCCTCATTTATACCTGTTACAACATATGGTACCTTTACTATCTATCCATCATATCCATCCAAAAAAAAACACTTAACTGATCCACCTTCAACTCCAATTGAAACACAATTAATGAGCTAAAATAGACATCCAATTATAAATAAATTCTTCATTAATTTATAGTTATAATTCTAATTTAAGTTATTAAAGCAATATATTAAATAATATCTCTATAAATCAAATATCTAAAATTTGCATTTATGCCAATTCTATTATTTTTAAGTAAATAAATAAATATTATTATGAATGAAATATTCTTAGATATAATGATATCATTTGTTTTAAATTTGGTCATATTTAATAGAATAATTATAAAAAAATAAAAAACAAAAGAAAATGTTGAAATTTGCTAATCTTTGTTTAATTATTGTTTAATTAGAAATAAAATAAATAATATACAATTTTAATATTATTTCTTTTAAAATAGTTTTCAAATATAGAGAATATTACTCAATTCTTCTATTCTTTTATAAATATTAATTCTTTATATAATATTCATATATAGAATTTGATTATTATATTTATCTATTCTCATTTTTAAAAGAAATTAAAACTAAAAATAGTATATTAATAAAATCATATTATTGAGTTTAACTATTTTATACATAATTTTTACAATTGATTTAAATGATTTAGATTAGTAAGATAAATATATTTATCTTAATTTTGATAATTTCTGTAATAATAAAATTGATTTAAATATGAGATGGAATTTTTTAGGGGAATACATAAGTTTGATCATTTAAACAAACTTATCACCATCTTTAAATAATTCTTATTTCACAACATTTTAGATAACAGTCTACTATTTGTAGTTAACTTATTTCTTAATAAGTGAAAATCATGAATACATATATCGTTTAATTAATACTTTATCGAGAATTAGTTTGATAACTCCAATATTTATAGAGACATATGAAATCAACATATTAATTGGAATAATTATCATTTTAATAAATATTATCCCATACCTTATTGTAATTTATAGAAGAATTAAGAATGTAAATAAAAAAGTAGGTAATATATCTAAAAGCATATTAAAAGTATGAATATTTATAATATTTTAAGATCGCAACAATGATTATTAACTTTTATTTTCTATATTTTACATGGTTTCTATATTTGCCATAATTATACTATATTGGATGGAATTATATCTAATCAGATACATCTCTTAATATTATAGCTACAATTGTTCTATTTTTTACAGTATTGACTCTGACAATTTCGAATGTATATTTTGTGAACTTCGAATTTAATGAGCAACATTTGAGAAAACATTTTTCATATAATAATTTAATTGCATAGACATTAGTAATTCCTATGGCTATCCTATATTTGGAAAATGATGATATAACATAGATAGTAAGTAGGACATTACATGGATTAATATTATTGATGTAAATATATGAAGCATATTTTTAATTGCCTTTTGGGTAAGTTATATATATATATATATTTTTAGATTTTCTCAATAAGGATATATATTTAATAGAGCTTTAATGACTCATTCAGTAGTATTTCTATTCTCTTCAATCAAGGCTTTGAGTACAGCTAGTCCTTACAGCTTGGCAACTATCATGTTAATTATGCAGCCAGTTGTATAATATTTGTTTTAAATTCTTTTTGATAGCAAAAGAGCTAATGCTTACCTTTCAATAAACAAGACAAATAACCAATATTATGAGTTATTATATATTGAAGATTTCTTTGAGTTGAGTTAATTAGCATAAAAAAATAAAACTAAAGAGATTGAATTAATATAAAAATTCAGTCTTCATATGAATAGATGTAATTCAACTAAATGTTAATGCAGAAAAATAGGATCATATAAAATATTATTATTTGATGAAACAGTACTTTTAATTTCATGTTTATTCAAAGGAAGTTTTGAGAAACATAAATAAAATTATCAAGATTTAAGAGTTTTTGAAATATTCAGTCTTAAATTCTTAACATTTATTAATAAATATAAACATAATGCTCCAAAAACATATTAAGAATTAAAAATCTTTTTTTAGAAAAAGAGAGATTATTCATTTTATTTCATATAAATGTGTTTATTATTGTAATTTATACTATAAGCTTAAATGCAGAAAGATGAAGATTATAATATTAATAAAGAGACTAGAGTTTCAAATGTTAAATTATAGGTTAGTAAAAGTGAAAGAAGTATTGTTTAAAATCTTTATTAAATGGAATAAGTTAAATAAAATATGATACCTTTATTAACAGAAATTAGTTTATTTAAATCTTAATTTTGGAAATCATTTAAAGAAGGTAAATTCTCAGATTATCTTTAAATTGAAGATCAAATTAAAAAATTATAGAAATTAAGAGATGATGTTATGTATTAATTTAATATTTATTATCAAATATTTTATTAAAATGGTAGAACATTTAATGTTTAATTTTTAAAAGTAAATGCTTTAATTAACTTATTATTGTTTAATAATGTGAGAAAATATTTTGAAATGGAGAAAGGTAATTAATATTTTATATAATATTAGAAAGGAGAGAAATTCTGTAATTTGAAAAAAGTATGAATTCATTTGAAATTACAAACATAAACTTTTTTAAAGGAGAAGCAATATCAGTAAAAGTATGTATAGCATTTGGTCCAAATATTGGAAAAGTCTTAAATAAAGTAATTTCTCCTTTAATCCCAAAATTTTTTGGATTTGGAAAATTTCCTAATCCAATGAATTCATTCATAGATTTCACAAAAGGAAATATAAATACTTTGATGCCAAATTGGCTAGAACCTATTCATGATGAAATAATGTAGAATTATATAAGAAGAGGTGTTACTGCTAGAATTGGCAAATATTTTTAAACATTTGCAAAATTGTACGATAAAACATTGATAAGATGTTAAGTTTATTTGGCACATAATTTTAGTTAAGAATTAGAAGATGATTTTACAATGATTGGATGTTTAAAATCATTGGAAGAAGAATAACCAAAGTTTGTAGGTGATGAAGGAAAGAAATTAAAGAATATTGCATTTAAAGGAGCTCAACATATTTTATTTGATGTGAATGGAAATATTATGGGTATAACAAAAGGATTATATAAAATGATTGAAAGATTATAAAGATTAGTAACTAAAAACAAAGTAGGAACATATCATGAAAATGATGAAATTTTGCATTAAAGTGGATAGAAATCAAAGTCAGAAAATTCATCAATAGAATCTGAAAGGTATTTAGATTAAATATAATCAGTTATGATGTTTTTGATTAGAAATGGTCTAATACAATATTGTAAATAGATGACTTTTATAATAAAGTATTGATATGGATGATTTTACCATTTATTTCAAGAGAAATAGAATCAACAGGTATAGAATTCTTAATGAATGGATAAACTCCACCTAAAAATAGATATGCTAATTTAATTGATTTAGAAAATGGAAATTAAGTTGTTTAAAATAAAGAAACATATTTATTTGTTCCTGAAGATTTAAATTTATTTGTTTAATAATATGACAAAGTTATTACCAAAATTGTTGATGATTTGAGAGTCTAATCAAATAATTTTTCATCTGGTAGTGCATATAGAGGAGGATAAAGAAGTGAATATTAAGATAGTGATTAATAAAGTATGGTTTAAGTGGTTACTATTTTTGATGAGAAATTATGTGTATTCTTTTATGATGAACATTTAAAGAGACATTAAGCATTATTATTTGGATAAACTAGATAATCAGAAATGTAAAAGAGTTAAGGGAGACCTTCATCAAAATCATCTATACCTGATAAATAAACTATTAGTAGTGAAGAAGATAGTGAATAACTAAAAACAAGAGCTGAAAAAATATATTAGGATAGATATTCAAAATATATTGAGAAATTCACACCTTAAGATTTCAATCCTATACCAGTTGTTTATTCTATTTTTTATGAAGAATATCGTTATAAGAAAAATGATACTGATCATAAATAATAGATGTTTGTTATAGAATTGATTGTAAATGATTAATAATTGTTGAATACAGAAAAAGGATACAAAAGATAATTAAGAGAGACTATTAAATAGACATATTAAAATTATTAATAGAAGAAAATACTACTAGAATAAAGGACAGAGGGAGAAGATTCTATGAGTATATAAGGTAATATGAGTGAATAAAGAAGTATACATGAAGGAGAAATAGTCAATTATAATTTCCCATCTCATCCTTCACATTATTATGAAGATATTTATTTTGTAGAAAATAATTAGATTTTATAAACAGATTAATTATACAGTCCTAGATAGGATGGGAAATCTGAAGGAATGCTCTTAAGTGGTCGATCAAGATATAGTAAGCCTTTATTAGAAAAAGATACTAAAACTTAAGGAGGTCAAAAAAAAAAGAGTTAAGTTACTGTTAATTCAGATCATAGTAGAGAAGAAATTTAATTTAAAGGATCATATTCAAATTTAAAATTTCCTGAAAAAGAGATTGCTTTTAAAGCATTGGCTAGAATGAATTAAAAGAAAAAGTAATAAGATTTTTATAATGATAATGAATCTAAAATACCTATAGAAAGTAAAGGTTCTTAATAACAAATCTTTGAAGAGTTTTAAGTTAAATATTCTGATAGTTTAAAACTATTTGATTCTTAATATAAGTTTGTATAATAAAAAACTAGTGATATGAGAAATCCAAATTCATACAAAATTTAAAAATATCTATTGATTACAACATTTATATTAATAGTAAGTTATATCATTCTCATTTCAATTGCAGTATAAAAACAATATAATCTAAGTTAATGTTATGATTTAATTGAATTAATGATTGCTACCTAAAAATCATATTCTCAAATTACTCATAGTTTATATCGTTTAGAATTATCAGATTTATTACAAATAGACAATATTGATATATTGAAGTAATTTTATGAAAAACAAATCTTTTCTGAATTGTAAGAGTTAATAGATATTTAAAGTAATTAAATTATAGAAATCAATTAAGTGTAGGTTAGTTTAGATATATTTTATGATATAGAAGATAAAGTTTAAATTAAACCAACACTTTAATAAACAATTTAATTTACTCTTGGTTAATTCTATAAACTAAAATAAAATGAAACAAGAGATATATTCAAATATAATTCTTCTTTAACATTTGCATCTGTTGCCAATCTAGAGGGTATTGGATAATTACCATAAAAGGCTTATGATTTCTGTTTTGAAGATTAAGTCTAAAATGAAAATACTTATTAAACTCTCTTAATCATTTATATGGTAGTAATTTTCTTTTTGGTGATGATTTTATAATTTTCCCATATACCATTAATTGGAAAATTAAGAAAGAGTCATCGTACATTTTATAAGGAAATTATTAAATTATAAACAAATGAAGTTAATGATGAAATTGAAATATATGAAACAATTGTAAATATATTCAAAAAATCAATTTATGAATGGATGTTGATTGATTTTGTTTAAGAATCTTAAATGTTTGAGATTACAAGAGAACATAAAACAAATGCTCTTACTCCAGGTAGGGAAATGCATACAGATATAAGTTCTGGAGCAGTATCTTCATCTAATAAAAAGAATAAATATAAATTAATGGAAAAATTGAAGAAATCTTAAATGAGATAGGTTAAATATTTTGTAATATTAATGGTTGGATTGTTTGTTATTTTAGCATATTTTCTAATAATATTCTTAGTTATTTTTATATTATCAAAAGATCTATTATCTAATGTAGAAATTCTATTTAAATTTAAATTAGTTTAATCATCAGTAATTAATTTAATAAATAATATGGATTTAGTAGCATTTACAAGTGTTAATGATTAATTATATGATAATGTTATGTTAATATAAACTTATTAAACTTATGCATCAGTATTAAGTGGTGATACAACAGATTATTTTTAATAATACTCAAATGAATTTATTTCAGCACTTATAGATGATAATTTAAAATTTAATCTTGATACTATGAATTAAAATAATATTTGTGAGATTGGAATTGGTATTGATTGTTAATCAACTGATGCTATTATCTTAAATCCTTGGTTATTACCATATTATTAATAAGGATTGAAATCTTTAATGACTTAAGTAGACAAAATCATATCATAATATCCTTAATTTTTTGATGATCAAAATGTAAAAAATTCATAGGATACTCTTTTTGAATTTTATTAAAGCTAAGAACATTTAATATATATAGATTATGGAAGTGAATTATTAATTAAAGCATAGAAATAGATTATAGATACGGCTTACAAACAATTTGATCAATCTTTAAATTTCTACAAACAAACATTATTAATATTTACTTTAAGTGTAGGTGTGGCTGGTTTTTTTATTATAGGTTTTTTAGGGAATTTAATATTAAAGATGTAAAAAGATTCAATAGAAACATGTTAAGCAGCCTTACTATTATTATCACCTAAACGATACTTAAATAAATCGATGGGTTTGTTAACATAAAAAAAATTGTGATTTTTTTGTTTATAATTAATATGAGTTAAGTTAAAAAAGATAATCCATAATAATCTGATTATGAGTAATCTCGAATTGGAGTGGCATTTGGAGATGATTTTGAAAAAGGTCCAGTTTCATTTAGGTAATAATTCTTGTATCTAATTGAGAGCTGAAATTCATTTTAATGAAAAAAAGGCAATGGAATAATTTGATAAGCTCAAGAATATAGTTGGAGATTAAATTGATATTGATTGGTCACTAGTTTGTTTTCTAAGATATTAACCTGGTAAAAAGGAAGCATTGATTGAATCCATAACAAAAATAAAGGATAGACGTAAAAGTTATATTAAAATCATTAGCTCGTTTTGAGGCATTTGAATGTAAAATCCATTCAGATGAAACCTATGTTTATTTTTCTGTTAAACTTAGAGAAGATGAAGAAAGTAAATTAAAAGGAAGTCTTGAGGTGATTTTAGAAAATGGTAATTAATTTTTAGTAAATTAAAGGATTAAGAGAAATGGTAAAGGATTAAGATAATTGTTTAAAAATTGAATTTGATGCAAATTATGATTTTTAATAATTAGTAGAAGCTGTTTCTAAAGGAGAGAGAGTTGGAGCAGCCTTTTTGAGATAAATTAGGTAAACAATATTAATTAAAAGAAAGAGCTGAATTGAATTTATTTTTGGAAAAGAACTTTTATTAAGGAATAGAAAAATTTGTTGGAGGAATTGATAAAGAAGCATTAGAATCTCCTCCTTTGGCATTTCTAAAACATTTTAAGAATTTAGATATGGATTTAAGATTTAGATCAACTGATGAATTACCATAAGTTATCAAGAATTAGATGATTTTTGGAGAAGAATTTTAAACATTAGCCTAAGAAGAATTATAATTACCTATAAATCGTACAAAATAAGTCAATGCTATTATGGAAGTATTTAATAATCAATTACTTAGGCAGCTGCTGATAATGGATTTGTTTATTTCACTATTTCAGATTTATGTGCTGTTAAAATAGAATCACATACACCTAAATTATCAACTTTTTTAACAAAATATGGAAAATACTTAGCTAAAATTGTAGGATTAGGAGAGTTTGTTCCAGAAGTATGATTATAAAGATAATTATTAATATTATTAATTTTGTAATTGTATTCAATAATAACAATGGGTGATGTCATAAATTTAGTCATCTGGTCTATCAATTTCTGATTTAATGCCTGAGTTTCTTCTTGTTCTACCAGATTCATATTTAAATATAGGTCCAGAGATATCTTCATCACATTATAAACATTTATTTAATTTTCCATTTTTCACAAAATCTTCATTTGTCATAAAAGACACACTTTAAGAATTAGGATAAATTTATTACATACAAGGCCAAAAACATGATTTTTTAGTATTTAAAGTATTGTACAACCAAACTTATGCACATGTATCAGTGAATCCTAATCCTTTGATACATTTTAAAAGATGATGTTAAGACAATCCATACATTAAACCACATTTTCTCACTGGTCTAGTCAAATCATTTGTAAGATAAACAGCTAAATCTTACAAAGTAGAACATGCACCACATTTTCCTTAATGAGTCACAATAAATTAATTTTATTCAGCTTCTTCTTTTGAATTAAAATGTTTTAAATGATATCTAAAAATTATGGATTCATTACATTTGTTTTTCATAGTCATCATATTTAATAGCACAAACACTAGTTGTATCTTATAAATTATCTGACACTTTTTATAAATAATTGGGATCAACAATATCATAAGGGTTTTTTGTATATGGAAATATGGGATCTCTAATTTATTTAGATTTGAAGGCTTTTGCAGCTTCATCAATATCACAACTTAGTACTGCAACTATTAGAAACAAATGCAATATTTACATTAATAATATATTAATAATATTATCAATTTTTGAATAACTAATTTTATGTTCATTCTTGTTTATCTCCTTATTTAATTAAATTATCTAAGAAATCATCACAATCTTCATCACTATCTCCTGTTTTTGTTTATATCTTTTGTTCAAATTTAGCAACTAATTATTCATCATCATCTTCACTTTCATCAGATCCATTATCTTTTTATATAATTTATTATTAATTTATGATGATATCTTTTTATTCTTATTATATTTAATTTTATTATTATTTTGATGATGTTTACTATTCTAATTATTATTATGATTGATTTTTACATTATTCTATAAATAATTATTATGGTTAAATATTATTTGATTATTATTTTTATTATGGTAATTTTTCATCTGAATCTTCATTATCTTTTTTCTCTATTTCATTTCCCAAACTAAATACTTCTTCTTTTGTTTTTTATTATTATTAATATACTTCCAATCCATCAATAATGTGCTTTTCTTTTACAACTAATCCTTTACATTCTTATACAATTTATAATAATAATTAATTAGATGACTTTGTTTNTATTCAATAATAACAATGGGTGATGTCATAAATTTAGTCATCTGGTCTATCAATTTCTGATTTAATGCCTGAGTTTCTTCTTGTTCTACCAGATTCATATTTAAATATAGGTCCAGAGATATCTTCATCACATTATAAACATTTATTTAATTTTCCATTTTTCACAAAATCTTCATTTGTCATAAAAGACACACTTTAAGAATTAGGATAAATTTATTACATACAAGGCCAAAAACATGATTTTTTAGTATTTAAAGTATTGTACAACCAAACTTATGCACATGTATCAGTGAATCCTAATCCTTTGATACATTTTAAAAGATGATGTTAAGACAATCCATACATTAAACCACATTTTCTCACTGGTCTAGTCAAATCATTTGTAAGATAAACAGCTAAATCTTACAAAGTAGAACATGCACCACATTTTCCTTAATGAGTCACAATAAATTAATTTTATTCAGCTTCTTCTTTTGAATTAAAATGTTTTAAATGATATCTAAAAATTATGGATTCATTACATTTGTTTTTCATAGTCATCATATTTAATAGCACAAACACTAGTTGTATCTTATAAATTATCTGACACTTTTTATAAATAATTGGGATCAACAATATCATAAGGGTTTTTTGTATATGGAAATATGGGATCTCTAATTTATTTAGATTTGAAGGCTTTTGCAGCTTCATCAATATCACAACTTAGTACTGCAACTATTAGAAACAAATGCAATATTTACATTAATAATATATTAATAATATTATCAATTTTTGAATAACTAATTTTATGTTCATTCTTGTTTATCTCCTTATTTAATTAAATTATCTAAGAAATCATCACAATCTTCATCACTATCTCCTGTTTTTGTTTATATCTTTTGTTCAAATTTAGCAACTAATTATTCATCATCATCTTCACTTTCATCAGATCCATTATCTTTTTATATAATTTATTATTAATTTATGATGATATCTTTTTATTCTTATTATATTTAATTTTATTATTATTTTGATGATGTTTACTATTCTAATTATTATTATGATTGATTTTTACATTATTCTATAAATAATTATTATGGTTAAATATTATTTGATTATTATTTTTATTATGGTAATTTTTCATCTGAATCTTCATTATCTTTTTTCTCTATTTCATTTCCCAAACTAAATACTTCTTCTTTTGTTTTTTATTATTATTAATATACTTCCAATCCATCAATAATGTGCTTTTCTTTTACAACTAATCCTTTACATTCTTATACAATTTATAATAATAATTAATTAGATGACTTTGTTTCATTACTAAAAGTTTAAGGTCTATCTGCAGTTTAGAATGATTTTTAATTTCCTCTTTCAAAAATGAAATCAACAAAAAAATCTTTTTCTGTTTTCATCTATGGACTTTTATCTAATTCTCTATCCCATATTCTAAGTACATTATCAAATAAAAATGAGCAATTAAACATAACTCTAAATAGAGCCACTCTAGTTTTGTTATTTTCAAAATGTTTGCATCTAACTAAAATATCATCTGAAAGCTATAAGAATTTGATAATAATTTTACTTCAATTCCTTTAAGATCAAATATGCAACTCAAATCTCCTTATTAATAATTTTTTAATTCACCATCAGTCAAAGAATTGAATATTGGTTTATCATTCTTAAACAATTGAATGTATGGTCTGAACATAGTACAATTTTAGACTTTTGGAATACCAGATATAACAATAGATATTAATCTTAAACAAGAACTATTTAATTTCAGACCATTTAAAACATTCCCAACATATGTAATATATTAATGCTAAGATGGAAATAAGGCCTAAAAGTCTTTAGTGTTTGTTTTTTCACATACTCTTAATAAACATTCTCCAGGCTAACATTTAATAATATATTATATTACATAACCAGCACCCATAATAGCCAACAATGATGATATCACCATGATACTTCTACCTCTTGTTTCTTGGCAACAAACAATTGCTATATTGTTCTTATCACTACTTAGAAAATAGATTATGTTTTTGCAAATCATCAATAGCTCGATCAATGGTGGACATGGATATCCTGGATGTGAATGATTGGCAACCTACTTACTTTTTCACTCTACTTAATTGCAAAACCATTCCGTTGTAAAATCTCTTTCTCCAACATTCCAAATATAGTAATGATTCTAATGATTAGTGTTTAAATAGCTCGATAATTTTTCTATTTTATCATTAGATGGATATTCCATCCAATATAATCTATTGCTTATTGCTACTATGTCTCCTTAAATTGTTTGCTTGCTTAATTTATCTATAGTATTTGAAGCAATTTGTTTGGTATGAGAGGCCAAATTTTTGTAAGAGTTTGCTATCCCTTTGAATTTCGGAGCCAAAGAATTATATAATTTATCCATATATATATATAAATTTCAATTTTTTTTTGTAAAATCTAAAATGGTGTAGCCATATTTTTCATATGCTTTATATATTTGTGTATACTAATTCCAACAAATAAACTGAATAAAGATTGCCAATAGATAGGTATATTGAATAATTGTACATATATAAATAAATCAGCAAAGATTACAGAGAATAAACTATTTATTTTACCAAGATTTAAACTCTGATGTCATTCTTAATAATGGACTATATTCTTTATCATTAAGTTTAGTTTTATTACTTATTGTGGTAGTTAATACAGTAACTTTTCATATCAATTTTAAAGCTTTACAATTATTTTAGAATTAATCATCTTCACTATTTATAATTAGTAAACTCAGAGGATAAAACCTTTTTTTTTGTTAGACCTTAATGTAGAACCTATTTAAATTGATTAATTCACTGACGTTATAAAATTTGAAAATTAAGACAACACTTTTGTGTTTTGAAATATAAAAAATCTTGTTATATGTTTGATTGTAAGAAACTAAACATGATAATTTAAGCTTAAATTGATGAAAATGAAAGATTTTAATATTCAGATTTCAAATTCTATATCTAATTTAATTTTAAGATACTTTCAATAATTTTGATTTTAGTTCATCATTAATTTAACCATTTATTAATGTAAAGAGTATTTTAATTTACATAAGCCTATTAGGATATATTAAGCTTATAAATAAAATTATTTAATTGAGATGATATTTTAATTCTATATTTTTTAGTAATTTTATTTTATATAGTAGTAATAGAATTAGAAAAATATAAATTTTTTGAATTTACAAAATTAAACATAATTATATTATGGGTAATTAAAACAGTTTAGAAGAAAAAGTAAAAAGTTCAATGGTTTAATTGCATAAGATGGGATTTTAATTGAAACAAAATGAATCTACCATATCCGAATTGAAAAATTATAATCCAAAAAAAGGTTAAGGTACAGCTGTTAGAGATGCAATTCTGTTTGGATTTACAAAGATATTAAATGCGATGATTATTTTGAAAAACTGCGAATAATTAGATTAATATAAATTTGTACACATTGTATTAACTGATGGAGAGGATAATAGTTCCTCAACTTCTATTTCAAATTTGAGTTCTATTTTAAATAAAGTAAAGGATATTTGTAGAACACTTATTATTGGAATAGATATGAAAAAAGAATAGTTACCTTATATTTCAAAAGAATGTGAATATTATGATGTTAGAAGTTCAGAAATAGAAAGTTTATTTCATAGAATTTCAGTTAGTTTAGGTTTAAAGGTGACTACAGCCGTAGGGGCAATTGTTCAAAATGATGTGGGAGTAATTGCAGTAAGTTAAAAAAAAGAATTAAGTCTAAATTTAAGAAGATGCAAATATATGATAATGCTAACAATAGATGGAAGTCCTTCAATGAATGATGGAGAAGGTTGGTGGTTATGGAAGACAACTCGTTGGAGTTTGGCAAGAAAGGCTGTTAAAAATTTAATGAAAAGCTTAGAAGATGAAGATAGAATTTGTGCATCTATTTTTGATTAAAATTTTAGAAATATAACTGAAACTGGATCTCTTAAGTTGTAGTTTGAAAAATTGTTTTTCAAAAAATTATGATTTAATAATTATAATTCTATCATTTTTATAATTTAATTAATTTTTGTTTTATAAATAAATAAAAGAGTATATGATAAAATGATATAAAAATAATTCTTATATTTATCAATTGAGATTATTAATTCAATTCTTCAAATAAACTGAGCTTATTTGACTTAAAATATTGTATTCTTTTAAACCTAAAGATCCTAAACAATAAATATTTTAGAAGAGCTTTACTTTTAAGGCTAGTTTATTATGAAAAATAAGAAGAAACTATTACTATATATTAATATTGTTAAATTGTTTCACATTTTTCATAAAATTGATTCCAATAGCAGAATTTTAACATAATTCTTGAATCTAAATAGGAGCACATATACAAGATATCAAATTATTATAATAAGATTTTGATAGGAACAGAAAAATAATTTGTATTATATTCTTTAAGTTTATGTAATCATTGTGCTTAAATTAATTAAAAAGAATATACTTTTACAACTTAAAATATTTATATGATTTGAATTTATATCGAATATTTTATTACAATATTCACACAGCATCTTAATACCTGTTTAATTGTCTTAATTATACAATATTTTCTTGAATTTATTCTTCAATTATCATTTATATAATGATAAAATTTTAGAAAAATTAATATATATATTTAATCTCATTTCTTCTATAATCTAGGCAGTTTTAGATAAGAAGATTTATTGTCAAATTTTTGGTCTATTTTTGAAATGTTTTAGATTTACCTTTTCGTAGATTCAGTTTTTAATTGATATTTTGATGATCTTTGATCTAATGAAGAAATCCTATAAAATATAATCATAAATATATATACTTCTTAACACTCCCATTATTTTATCTTGATAAATCATAACTTCTTAAATAATATTTATCATCTTCATCTTCATCTTCCTCTATTAAATCTTCAGGTTTGAATTCTTCATGTAATAAGAGTTTAGGATCTAATTTATCCAATTTTTCCCAATTTACAATCTGATTAGAATTTGCATCTAAACCAATCTTTTTTAACTTTCTTTCCTTATAATTATTTGTTTTAATATAAGATGGTTCAAAAAATATTGATTTAGATCTTGAATTATCCACTTATTATATTATTTTATCCCTTAATTCTTATCTTTTTACATTTTTCCATTCTTCTACTAATATTCTTCTAGATTTAAGTTCATCAGTTGAATAATTAACAAACTTTTATAATTATAATCCTTCAGGTTTTCTAAATCCTTATGCATCTTTTGATTCAAATGGGATATTCAAAGATTTCATTTTTGTTTTAAATTTATTTGAATCTACTTCCATGTATTAAAATAATTTAATCTCTGCTTTTGTTTAATCTTCTTAATACATAAGTTTAGAGAGTTCTTTCAATAAAAGGACAAAATTTATAAAGGTAATTTCATTTTAATTTTGATTAACTCTCCTAAATAGTAGATTCTAATATATAAAGTAAATTAATATACAAGTTCTTTAAAAGATAAGATTCGCATATTTTCTTAACGATTATTCCTAGTTGAAGTAGGAATAATTTTATTAGGCTTGGTTGCAAATGTATCATTTAATATTCTATTTGTTTCGGTATGTCTTGATAATGTTTTAATGTGATGGATTTTCTCATCTATCAATCCAAATTGACGACAAAAGATCATAAACTTACCTTCTGTTAATGTTTAGGATTCATGATTTATTCTTGTAAAATCATCTGATGGACCTCTTACATAGAATATTTTCGAATAGAATTTATAAACTTCCTTTAGATGAGATTATATCTTAGATTATGAAAAGAAAGACTCTTCTGTCTATTCAAGTTCTTTTATTAAACTAATTCCACCAAAGTTGCTGACATCATTCGTTATTGGATCTATAATATTAAATTTCAATTTTTCTAGTTAACTTTCAAGAGTAGACATGATACGTTTAATAACTCTCTTATCTTTTTATTATACACATTAAGCTTCTATTTTTCTATATCTTTCTAATTATTTCTCTAAATATTCTTAAATATTTAAGTTCTCCTCTTCAATTAATACTGGGTTTTATATTTATTATTATTATTCATTTTCTTCTTGATTTCTAATCTCAATTGTTTGATTATTGAACTATTAATCAATTTTTTATGAATTATCATCTCTCTCTTTTTCACTTTTTGCTTCCAACTCTTAAGCTTTCGTTATAACTTCATTGTCTTCATTATTTAATTATGACTCTTAGTTTTATAGTTTTTCAGAAATTTCTCCTTGCTCTTCAGTCTATACTGGATTTTCGTTTTAATTTTCCATGAATAGATTCTAAGTAAAAAATTTTTTTATTTTTATTTAAAGCAATTAATAATATATTGCTTCTAATTGTTTTTTAAGTAAAGTATTATAGAAAATGTAAATGTTATAATTTAACTGGAAAAAAAGTCAGGAATATATAGTATTATAATACTTAAGTACCATTTTATTAATAATTTAATAAAAAGTAATTCATTCTCTTTATTTGAATATTTGATATCATTTAGATTAAATTCTTCCTTTTCTAATGTCCTATCAAATTTATATCATCATATTTATTATAATCTCAATTCAAATTTATGTATTTATATATCTATATGAAATTTCTGAATTCGAAAACTTAAATCAAATCTAAGTCTAATATTCTTTTAGATTTTAATATAATTCTATAAATCTAATAATTAAATATAAGTATACTTAATAATTTTTCTGATTTATTTATTTTTTAAATCTCTTCTGCTTTTTTAACTTCAATTTAACTGATGCATTTATATGAGATATTTTATTTAAAGATAACATTTTATATAATGTTTTAATAATTCAAAATCATATAAGTTATTTTCAATATTAATCTTTCTAAATTTATTTTTATCAGATACAAAAGATAAAATGATAATTAATGTTTATACATTCAGAATCTCCATAAATCTGCAAATATTTTAATAATAGATTCATCTATCCTAAATCAAAAGTATTAATCTTTATGGAATAAGAAGTTACCCTAATGTATGCAAAATTCAAATATCATCTTAAAATTCTACATTTCATAATTCTTTTAATAATATTTTTTTGATCATTTAGGTATATTCCAAAGTAATCAATAATTTGAATAATAATGTTAATTTTTCATAATTAATAATTTTTTTAGCTTCCATAATTCTAAATTTATAGAATTTATTTTTATTTATTAAGTATTTAATATCATTTTAAATCTAAATCTAATAAATATTGGTTAAGGTTAATTGCATTTTAAAGCAAAATACTTTAAAAATAAAAATATGACTGATTAAAAAAGCAAATATATAAATGGTTAGACTCTTTTATAGAAAACAATAATAGTATGAATATTCTTTAAAAATCTCTTGGATTTTTATAAGTCG